GGCTGTTTCTTTATTATTATTAGTATTACACTTTAAGTTCTAGGGTACATGTGCACAATGTGCAGGTTTGTTACATATGAATACATGTTCCATGTTGGTGTGCTGCACCCATTAACCCGTCATTTACATTGCTTATCTCCTAATACTATCCCTTTCCCCTTCCCCACCCCATGACAGGCCCCGGTGTCTGATGTTCCCCATCCTGTGTCCAAGTGATCTCATTGTTCAATTCCCACCTATGAGTGAGAACATGTGGCATTTGGTTTTCTGTTCTTGCGATAGTTTGCTGAGAATGATGGTTTCCAGCTGCATCCACGTCCCTACAAAGGACATGAACACATCCTTTTTTATGGCTGCATAGTATTCCATGGTGTATATGTGCCACATTTCCTTAATCCAGTTTATCATTGATGGACATTTGGGTTGGTTCCAAGTCTTTGCTATTGTGAATAGTGCCACAATAAACATATGTGTGCATGTGTCTTTATAGCAGCATGATTTATAATCCTTTAGGTATATACATGGTAATGGGATGGCTGGGTCAAATGGTATTTCTAGTTCTAGATCCTTGAGGAATCGCCACACTGTCTTCCACAATGGTTGAACTAGTTTGCAGTTCCACCAACAGTGTAAAAGCGTTCCTATTTCTCCACATCCTCTCCAGCACCTGTTGTTTCCTGACTTTTTAATGATTGCCATTCTAACTGGTGTGAGATGGTATCTCATTGTGGTTTTGATTTGCATTTCTCTGATGGCCAGTGATGATAAGCATTTTTTCATGTGCCTGTTGGCTGCATAAATGTCTTCTTTTGAGAAGTGTCTGTTCATATACTTTGTGCACTTTTTGATGGGGTTGTTTGATTTTTTCTTGTAAATTTGTTTGAGTTCTTTGTAGATTCTGGATATTAGCCCTTTGTCAGATGGGTAGATTGCAAAAATTTTCTCCCATTCTGTAGGCTGCCTGTTCCCTCTGATGGTAGTTTCTTTTGCTGTGTAGAAGCAAAAGATGAATTAGATCCCATTTGTCAATTTTAGCTTTTGCTGCCATTGCTTTTGGTGTTTTAGACATAAAGTCCTTGCCCATGCCTATGTCCTGAATGGTATTGCCTAGGTCTTCTTCTAGGGTTTTTATGGTTTTAGGTCTAACATTTAAGTCTTTAATCCATCTTGAATTAATTTTAGTATATGTAAGGAAGGGATCCAGTTTCAGTTTTCTACATATGGCTAGCCAGTTTTCCCAGCACCATTTATGAAATAGGGAATCCCTTCCCCATTTCTTGTTTTTGTCAAGTTTGTCAAAGATCAGATGGTTGTAGATGTGTGGTATTATTTTTGAGGGCTCTGTTCTGTTCTGTTGGTCTATATCTCTGTTTTGGTACCAGTACTGTGCTGTTTTGGTTACTGTAGCCTCTCTGTTTTGGTACCAGTACCATGCTCTTTTGGTTACTGTAGCCTTGTAGTATAGTTTGAAGTCAGGTAGCATGATGCCTCCAGCTTTGTTCTTTTGGCTTAGGAATGTCTTGGCAATGCAGGCTCTTTTTCGGTTCCGTATGAACTTTAAAGTAGTTTTTTCTAATTCTGTGAAGAAAGTCATTGGTAGCTTGATGGGGATGGCATTGAATCTATAAATTACCTTGGGCAGTATGGCCATTTTCACGATATTGATTCTTCCTATCCATGAGCATGGAATGTTCTTCCATTTGTTTCTGTCCTCCTTTATTTCGTTGAGCAGTGGTTTGTAGTTCTCCTTGAAGAGGTCCTTCACATCCCTTGTAAGTTGGGCTCCTAGGTATTTTATTCTTTTTGAAGCAATTGTGAATGGGAGTTCACTCATGATTTGGCTCTCTGTTTGTCTGTTATTGGTGTATAGGAATGCTTGTAATTTTTGCACATTGATTTTGTATCCTGAGACTTTGCTGAAGTTGCTTATCAGCTTAAGGAGATTTGGGCTGAGATGATGGGGTTTTCCAAATATACAATCATGTCATCTGCAAACAGGGACAATTTGATTTCCTCTTTTCCTAATTGAATATCCTTTATTTCTTTCTCCTGATTGCCCTGGCCAGAACTTCCAACACTATGTTGAATAGGAGTGGTGAGAGAGGGCATCCCTGTCTTGTGCCAGTTTTCAAAGGGAATGCTTCCAGTTTTTGCTCATTCAGTATGATATTGGCTGTGGGTCTGTCATAAATAGCTCTTATTATTTTGAGATACGTTCCATCAATACTGAATTTATTGAGAGTTTTTATCATGAAGGGTTGTTGAATTTTGTCGAAGGCCTTTTCTGCATCTATTGAGATAATCATGTGGTTTTTGTCTTTGGTTCTGTTTATATGATGGATTACATTTATTGATTTGTGTATGTTGAACCAAAGCTGGCTGTTTCTAACATGCAGCCACATGGAGAACTGCTGAACCAAGACGATCTTTACATATGTATCTTTTTTTTGTTGTTTTGAGATGGAGTTTTGCTCTTGTTGCCTAGGCTGTGATCTCAGCTCACTGCAACCTCCACCTCCTGATTCAAGCAATTCTCCTGCCTCAGTCTCCAGGGTGGCTGGGATTACAGGCACTCACCACCATGCTCAGCTAATTTTTTGCACTTTTAGTAGAGACGGGGTTTCACCATGTTGGCCAGGCTGATCTTGAACTCCTCACCTCGGGTGATCCACCCACCCGGCCTCCCAAAGTGCTGGGATTACAGGCGTGAGCCACCGCACCTGGCGTATATGTATATCTTGATCTAAAAGCCTAGAAGCACAGTTAAAAAAAAAAAAAAAAAAAAAAAAAAAAAAAGCCCATCTGGGGAAAGAGTAAATAAAGACTTTGATTTTCTAATACAAAATTCCCTTAGCCTATCTTAAAAAGTTTTCTTTCTTTGACAAACCGTGACAGCTTACAAGCCATACAGTTTTCTTTGAGGAACCAACATCATTTACCCATTAGGGATGCTGCTCCCAGATCCAGTTTTTCTTTTTGAGATATAGTTCCCTATTTTTGTGTACCGCACCTCTGTTTCTTGTTTGATGCATGTATATTCCTGCATTTGTTAAGATTCATTTGGTTGCAGACAATGGAATTCAGAATGTCGCTAACTTTAGCCACAAGTGAGAACTTGTTGGAAGGTACCAAGATGCCACCCACAGGACTACCTGCCAGGAGGAGCAGATAGCAAATAGGAACTGGAACTCTATGGGGCACCAAGAAATGGTCTGTCCGTCCTTTGCTTCTGCTTTGCTGTATATATCTGATTCATTTCTTCTTTCCTGAGGCCAACTGCTGTTTTCTGCTCATTAATCCACGAGGCCAAATGTGGCCAACAATGGGTCTCCACTTCCCTGTGTTCATTTGCCACCTGCTGGAGAAAAACTTTTTTTTTTTTGGTCCCAGATCCAAATTTCCAGACTGGTCCCTTTGGGCCCGTCAATCTTGGCCTGCAGGGCTGGCTACAGGATCTGTGAGGCCCAGTGAGAAATAAAAGTGTGGTAGCCTTTATTCCCAGAGCGGGGGGAAGTGTCCGTCGTGGGTCAGTGAGCTTCTTCATTTCTTCTGTAGTCTCTTTTTCGACTTGTCATGGTGCTTTTTATTTTCTATTTACTGTCATTCTAAGAAAACTCTAAATTTTAAATTATTAGCAAGCATTTTACCATTCATCTTTATATCAAGCAACGCCAGTTTTAAATGTAAATTTCAGAGCATTTAACTCATATGCAGAACCACTGAAATTACACAATTGGTGTTTTGTGACTTGTTGGCCAGAAGAGACAAACACAAACCAAACTTAGGAAGACTGAAAGCAGGAAGAGAGGATGCCTCCAGGTTCACCCAAGGGGGATGCTCTTTCAGGCCTGGACATACTAGATGAGCTGGGGGAGTCCAGACCCTTCCAGGCATCCAAGGGCCCTATCAGTCACCAGTCACATGCACTGAGACCCAGCCAGGGAGGCAGGGTCTAGAGAAATTAGTCCAGATGTCTCCCCTTTCCACAGCCTTCCCCAGCCAGCCACAGCAGACTAACCTCCAAGGATCTCTAAACCTCTGTGCTATGACACACTCAGTACCTGGGCTGGGGGTGGGCAGAGGTTTGCCCCCATCAAGACAGTTCTAACAGGTTTCCTGGTGATGCTGCTGCTGCTGACCTTTGCCCATCCTGGAACTCACTTTGAGAGCTGGCTGAGATCCCAGGCAGGGCAGCCAGTGGCTGCTCCAGGGCTGTGAAGGGCTCCCCCTGCAGATGGAGGAACTAGGCCTCCCAGCACCTGTCCCTGGAACGTTGGCGGCTTCAGAATGGGCTTGCCCTGGAGGCCGGCCTCCTGCTGCTCTGGGAAAAAGAGGGAACAGAAGAAAGCAATCCCTCACCTCAGGGACTCCTCCTGGATTAGCATTATGTAGGTGAAGAAAGTGAGACCATCACCCACCAACCAGATAACTCATTCCACCTCTGTGGGGAAACTGGCAGAGCAGCAAATAAGCTTCCTTAACCCCGGTGCGCCCTCACCCTGCTCATGGGCATATGTGTTCATCTTCAGGCCAAAGAGGGGCAGCCAGGGAGTGACACTTTTAACTTCATAATGTGCCATGACTACCCATGTGACAGGCTCTTTAAGCCTCAGTTTTCTCATCTGAGAGATGGGGAAGTAGCTGCCACACTGGCTTAGTGGAGGATCCAATGAGGGAACATCTATGCTGCACTTGGTCGGCCACATCGTCAGCTCCCAACAAATGCTGGCAGCTGTGGCTGCCGCTGCAGTTTTATAACCAAACTTCTCTGTATTACAAAGACCCCTGAGCCCCACGCTAGCACTGTGAAATGTAAGCACAACAGAACACACTGAATGCCAATCAGATGCAATTTGGGTCATATCGACTTTTCATTTTGTGGGGTTTCTGTTTAAATGTTTGCCAAAGTTGGAAACAAGATTGAAATTTAAGGAAAAGACAAAATGCCATGAGAGTCGGGCTAACACGAACTTCTCCCTTTGTCACGACCCCTCCATCAGATGGTCCCTGAGTTCTGCAGCCTCGAGGAAGGCCTGCCCTATCTGGACATGGTGATTGCAGAGACGCTGAGGATGTACCCACCGGCTTTCAGGTGTGTGGCAGCCCCCTCCCCTGCCCCAGTCCCTACCCCCTAACCCTACTCCATGCCCCACCCTGCAGGTCAGGGCCCTCGTCCATCAGTTACCGCATGTGTTTCTGTAGGGTAACGCCTGAGTCCTGGGTTCCTTTGTATCCCCCAGGACACCTCAGATATCTGGCCCACTTTCCTATAGCTTAACAACCTTCTCAAAGCTTCACTGGCCTTTTCTTAACACTGCCTTCCTCCCCACCCCAAGCCAGCCCTTTGGTCTCCTAGCCTTTCCTGGCTTTTGCCATTTCCCCTGCCTGTTCATTCATTATTCATTCATTCATTCAGCAATTGTTTATTGAGCATCTACTCTGTGCCAAGCACTGGGAAATCAGCTGTATATAAAACAGATAAAAGTCCCTGACCAGTCTTGGAGCTGGCATTCCAGTAGGGGACTGTCTGAGTCCTGGGAGCTCCTTCCTGCCATCCAACACCCCCAGCTGTCCAATCCTGGAGCTCCAACATGACTCACCCTCCAAAACGTCTCATCGCCCCTCAGGACGTCTGTGTTGGGCTTGCCTCACCTGGTCCTCCCTGCCCTCCCTCCCCAGCACTTTGAGCTGTAACTGTACTTCATGTTATATTCTTGGACGCATGTCTGCCACTGCATGGCATTTCACTAATGTACACACCAACCAGCCGATCACACCAAGCTGTGGGTATCCTGAGGGTAAAACCACCTATTGTGCTTCATTCAAACTCTCCCAAACAAGGCACTCCATAGAGAAGGGCGTCTTAATTCATGTCCCCAGACCCTTACAGAGAGTGAAATAACAGCCAGATTTCAAGCTCTAGAAACAAAAGCAGCACAAAGCATTAACCGTATGTGATAAATTCCACTCAACACTCTTATGAATTACTAGATCACATAAACCATATGGGGATACCTTTCACCATTTTTAAAGAGAATGTGTGGATGATTTGAGGGTATCTCAAAATGATATTTCAACACAAAAGCATTACAAATAATGCAATTGTATATATTGTCCAAATATGCAAGTCCAGAAGCAAATACAGAAAATTCCAGTGGTGTGATTGGAATTGCATCATCCTCAAGGACGCAGGGTTTTGGGTTTTGGTGCAGAAGCAGGTCAGTCACTCAGGGACTCTGTGCACCCTCTCCCCATGCCAGCATTAAGACCTGATGTGCAGCCCTTCCCTGATCTCCTTGAGAGCCTCTTGCAAACTGTCATCCAATTCTTTCTTTCTTTCTTTTATTTATTTATTTATTTATTTATTTATTTATTTTTGAGATGGAGTGTTGCCCTGTCCCCCAGGCTGGAGTGCAATGGTGTGATTTTGGCTCACTGCAACTTCCGTCTCCTGAGTTCAAGCAATCCTCGTGTCTCAGCCTCCCAAGTAACTGGGATTACAAGTGCCCACCACCGTGCCTGGCTAATTTTTTGTATTTTTAGTAGAGACAGGGTTTTACCATGTTGGCCAGGCTGGTCTCCAACTCCTAACCTCAGCTGATCTGCCGGTCTTGGCCTCCCAAAGTGCTGGGATTACAGGCGTGAGCCACCATTCCCAGCCTTATTTTTTTCATAATTGATATCCAGCTTTCTTCCAAGGGGATTGTGGGCAGCTGGTGTACATGTTAAAATAAAGTTCAAGATAAAGCATTCAGTGATCCAACAGAACAAAGGCCATTTAAAGGAAAGAAGGCCTTACAGGGCCCCGGCTGATAGCTGGGGTCCAGCTTTGGCTTGGTGACCAGGGCTCCTGGCCAAGAGGGAGAGCAGCCAAGCCAAACGGGTGTGTTCTCCAGCAAGAGGACAGCACAGAAACTGATCAATGGATGCAGTACTTCCTGGACCTAAACTCAGCCATGAATCCATCAGACAAGACGTTGTATAGATGTCATGTTGAATAACAAAGGGATTAGGCTCTTCAACACGAAAATGTGGTGGCCAATTCTCCACTGACCCGTTATAAACAGCAGAGCAGGAAAGGAAGTCGGCACAGGCGGACCAGGAAGCCAGTGATCTCACCTGAGGACCAGACAGAAACTAGAGAACCTGGATGAAGTAGTTAGAATTCATCCAACAGGTCTAGAGGGCGTGTCAGAAGACCATCTCAGCCCTGGCCTTGGTTTACTGTGTGATTGTGAGCCCCATGCTGCTCTGTGCCTCTCCTTCCTACAGGTTAAATGGAGACATATGCCTGTTTCATTGGCCCTGCAGAGGCGGGTGAGAGGCAGTGGGTGGCACAGGTGGAACTGCAGTGCCCGCTCAGCTGCATGCAGCATGAGGTGTGCAGGGAGGAGCGCCGGCACTGGTAGGACAAGAGAATGGCCAGCTTCCATCCAGCCTTGCTCTCCTGAGTCACACCTTCCCCACACCTGCCCCAAACCTGCCCTGCACCTGCACACCTGCCCCACACCTTCTCCACACCTGCCCCACACCTCTACACCCACCTCACACCTGCCCCACACCTCCACACCCACCTCACACCTGCCCCAAACCTGCCCTGCACCTGCACACCTGCCCCACACCTTCTCCACACCTGCCCCAAACCTGCCCTGCGCCTGCACCACGCCTGCCCCACACCTTCCCCAAACCTGCCCTGCACCTGCACCACACCTGCCCCACACCTTCTCCACATCTGCCCCACACCTCCACACCCACCCCACACCTGCCCCACACCTGCCTCACACCTCCATGCCCACCCCACACCTGCCCCACACCTCCACACCCACCCACCTGCCCCACACCTTCTCCACGCCTGCCCCATACCTCCACACCTGCCCCACACCTCCACGCCCACCCCACACCTGCCCCACATCCACCCCACACCCGCCCCACAGCTCCACACCTGCCCCACACCTCCATGCCCCCCCCACACCTGCCCCACACCTCCACACCTGCCCCACACCTCCACACCTGCCCCCACACCTGCCCAACACCCCCACCTCCACACCTGCCCCACACCTCCACACCTGCCCCACACCTGCCCCACACCCACTCCACACCTGCCCCACACTTCCACACCTGCCCCACACCTGCCCCACACCCACTCCACACCTGCCCCACACCTCCACACCTGCCCCACACCTGCCCAACACCCACTCCACACCTGCCCCACACCTCCACACCTGCCCCACACCACCTCCACACCTGCCCCACACCTGCCCCACACCCACACTCCACACCTGCCCACACCTCCACACCTGCCCCACACCTCCACACCTGCCCCACACCTCCACACCTGCCCCACACCTGCCCAACACCTGCCCCACACCTGCCCCACACCCACTCCACACCTGCCCCACACCTCCATACCAGTCCTATACCTGCTCCACACCTGCCCCACACCTGCTCCACACCACCTCACACCCGCCCCACACCTGCCTCACACCCACCCCACACCGGCTCCACACCCGCCCCACACCCCACTCCACCTGCTCCACACCTGCCCCACACCCGCTCCACACCACCTCACACCGTCCCACACCTGCCTCACACCCACCCCACACCGGCTCCACACCCGCCCCACACCCACTTCACACCTGCCTCATACCTGCCCCACACCCGCCCCACACCCACTTCACACCTGCCTCATACCTGCCCCACACCCGCCCCACACTTGCTCCACACCTGCCTCATACCCACTCCACACCTGCCCCACACCTCCATGCTGGCCCCATACCTGCTCCACACCTGCCCCACACCCGACCCACACCTGCCCCACACCTGCCTCACATCCACCCCACACCTGCCTCATACCCACCCCACACCCGCCTCACACCCGCCCAGCCACACCTGCCCACACCCCCCCACCCGCCCACCCCGCCCACACCCGCCCCACACCCGCCTCACACCCGCGCCACACCTGCCTCACACCCGCACCACACCCGCCCCACACCCGCCCCACACACACCCGCGCCACACCCGCGCCACACCTGCCTCACATTCGCACCACACCCGCCCACACCCGCCACACCCGCGCCACACCTGCCTCACATCCGCACCACACCCGCGCCACACCCGCCCCACACCCGCCTCACATCCGCACCACACCTGCGCCACACCCGCCCCACACCTGCCCCACACCTGCCCCACACCTGCCTCGCAGCTGCTCCACACCTGCTACATTAGCATTTTTCACCCTATCAGCTCTGCTGGCTTTTCTTGTCAATCACCAGTTATGAGACAGACAAGGTGTCACAATTCTCACCCAGACCAGAGGACAATCTGCTTCTGCTCAAAGGATTTGGGGGTGAATGTAGGGAGAGTGAGCATTTTTATTATTTTATTTCATCTCAAAAAGCGTGTTGACCTTTCCCAAGTGCTGACACAACTTGGACTTATTCATAAAAGAAATCAGAATGGCCCTTGTGGGAAAACACAGCAGCCCTGTCTGAGTTCCATTGAGGTGACTGAGTTGCTGTGCGGTGCAGTTCTGAAGCTTCTGCTGGTCTCTTACGTGGCTCAGTCTGCGGGGAAAGGAGGCTCTGTTCTCCAGATTCCAGGGTGTCTGCCTTCAGGTCCAGGCTGTTTCCAGAAAAGATGAAAAAGCAGGGTGCCAGAGCACAGCCTCATCTGACCCCTTTGGAACTGAGGGTACAGACTCACAACCTCCAGCTGCCTGCCCTGGTTTCAGCACTGGTGTTTGCTATCAGCTCCAAGCACATATAATTGCATTAGCAGCTTAGGATCTCAATGGGTTCTCCCAGCGCTGGCCTTTTTCCGTTCCTCTCTGTTACATGAAAGGCTCATAACAGAGAGAGGGAGCGGCGAGAAGCCACAGGCTGCTCTTGATGTCTTATGGGCAGGAACAGGGCGTAACAGTAATTACTGTAATCATTGCATTTCCTCTAGGATATTTAGGGAAGCCCAATCTTACAGCTTGAAGTAAAATCCAGCATAGGATTATTTTTATTTTTTAATTATTTATATTACCAAACTAGCATGCTTATACTTAAAAACACACACACACACACAGTCCCAGCCGGGCGTGGTGGCTCACACCTGTAATCCCAGCACTTTGGGAGGCAAGGAGGGAGGATCACTTGAGGTCAGGAGTTCAAGACCAGCCTGGCCAACATGGTGAAACTTTGTCTCTGTTAAAAATACAAAAATTAGCCGGGCATGGTGGCAGTAACCTGTAATCCCAGCTATTCGGGAGGCTAAGGCAGGAGAATTGCTCGAACCTGGGAGGCGGAGGTTGCAGTGAGCCAAGATAGTGCCACTGCACTCCACCCTGGGCAACAGAGCAAGACTCTGTCTTTAAAAAAAAAAAAAAAAAAAAAAGCCCCTAAACAATGGAGAAGAATAAAAAAAAAAAAAAGGCCGCCTGTCATTCTCCATCCCAGTCCCATCCCCTAGAGAAGATAAAGAAATTTAAGTATTCTTCTAGAAATGTTATGTTCATACATAAGCATATATAGTCTACCCTTTAAAAGTAAAGCATAAATGAGATTGTGCCATTGCCCTTGGGTAAAATGAACAATCTGATCAAATATTTTCCTCTCTGGGAGAAGCAGCTATCAGTAGAGACATAGACAACAGGGACTCACCAGGACTCACTCAGAGAGGCCAAATTCACAAAGACAGAAAGTAGAACGCTGTCTGCCAGGGGGAGAGGGGAGGGGAGGGAGTTAGTGTTTAAGGGATCCAGAATTTCAGAGGAAGAAGAGGAAAAAGTTCTGGAGATGGATGGCGGTGCTGGTTGCATAATGAATGTACTAAAACCACAGAACTGCACACTGGAAAATGGTTCAAATGGTCCATTTTATGTTTTTTTTATATATATATATATATAACCACAATGAAATAATAAACAGATAGGTGAGCAGATAAATTAACTAAATAAACCCAGCCTCACCAGGACCAATTCTGGTGTTCCAATATTCCAGAATTATCATGACAGCTGATGGACGGTTTGAGACTGTCCTCATTGGATGTTCTCATGTCCTGTGTTAAGGACTTAAGGCTCAGAATCACGGATTCCAGGCATGTGGGAGTGGTACGGACAGGAGCAGGAGTGGGAGCCCGTGTACAGGATGCGTTAGGGAAACAGAACTTTGCTATGTAGGGAGGGTATCTCGAGGCCGAGCCTTGACAGAGGCTGTGACCTGCATCTCCTCCCAACCCCGTGTTACCTGGTCTAGAAAATGGCCTGAGCTAGGAGGCGGGAAGCGGGGCTTGGTTTTCTTGCGGTGAGCCAGATCGGTTGGAGTGGGATAATGCTGAAGTCAGAGACACTTCTGAATCGAACCCTATAGTCACAGAAGTAGTTGGAGAGGGGGTGGGCTGAGAGGTGCAGGGAGGTGATGAAGAGAAGCTGGGGCTGTAATTCCGCCCTCATCCTAAAAGGCTCTATCTCATCCTTTAAAATCCCAAATCAACTGTAACCAGAACATTTTTTTTTTTTTTTTTTTGAGATGGAGTCTCGCTCTGTTGCTCAGGTGTGCAGTTGTGCAATCTCAGCTCACTGCAACCTCTGCCTCCTGGGTTCAAGTGATTATCCTGCCTCAGCCTCCCGAGTAGCTGGGACTACAGGTGCATGACACCATGCCTGGCTAATTTTCGTATTTTTAGTAGAGATGGGGTTTCACCATGTTGGCCAGGTTGGTCTCCAACTCCTGACCTCAGGTGATCCACCCACCTCCATCTCCCAAAGTGCTGGAATTACAGGCATGAGCCACCGAACCTGGCCATGACCAGAACTCTTGAGAGCATGTGCTCTCAACACTCAAAGTCCAAAAGTCTACCCAAGTTCAGGAAGAGAGTGGTTCTTCAGCTCTCCACCTCAAATTTTGTTTCTAGAAGGTTGCATGTAGGTCTGAAGAGTGACAGCATGTTTGTTTAACAGGAACTCAAAGCCAGCAGATCAGGAAAGGATACTTAAAAGGTTTGGAGTTTGGGCTACAGAGGTTTAAGGTAGGTCTTTCATGGCAAGGAATGTTTGAAATTGGGCAAGATGTATGACATAACGATTTAGGAATGAGTGGATACAAGTAGGTGAGTTGAAGGGGGTTCTGACAGGTAAGACTGTTGTCTGGTAAGTGAACTGTTTGCTCAAGTGAGCAAACCATTGTCCTGATAGGAAAGTGATTTGCTCAGACAAATTAGCTTGCATTAATTTCCTGAAGCCAACAGTGAAGTTATTTATTGGTTCAGAGGTTTATTTTTCTTAGCAAGAATTTTCTGGAGCAGAGAGGAAGTCACTGACACAGGTGGTCTCAATGCTCAGGCCAAGAGTTGAGTTTGTAGCTCCAAGTAGACTCATTTCCCAGGGTCACCTGCTGGGCCATAATCAACAAGGTACAAGCTTAAGAGAGCTGTGCCGGGTTTTCAAGTTGCAAGGAAGACAGATTCACTGGTGTTTTCTTGAGTCACGGGTGTTGGTTTTAAGAAACTGGTGAAGTAAGGAAGCTAGAACTCTCCCAGGAACCAGGAACAGCTCTCACTGGCCGGCCTCAAGGAGGAGACCCGACTGGGGGACTGGAAGGTGGTTCAGATGTTTCAGAAGCTACAGTGGCTCCAGCAGTCAGACTGGGGTGTGATCTCACAGCATCAGGAGCCCTGAACACTAGCCCAAGGCTCAGCTTTGAATGCAGCTTGACCAGGTAAACCTGGAGACTGCATCAACACCCGCAGCCTCCAACACCCCTGACCAGCTCATGGCCTTAATCCCAAACCCAGGTCCTAAACTACCTCTCACTGTGCATCACAAGTCACTGCCTGGCTTCCTGGCTTCTGATCTGCTGCCTTCTCCAATTCATGGCCTCACTTCATCCATTGATTGCCCTTGACTTTGAGCTACAGGTTTCACCAGCTGTGACTCTAGCCTCAGCTCTGGGGCCACACAGCCTCAAGCACCTGGGTCTTGCCCCAGCTCCAGATGCCTGTCCTAGGTAGCCCATCCTTGGGGAGCAGCAGACAAAACTGCATGTCAGAGACATAGCTCTGGTTGTCATGAGAAGACTGTATTGGAAAGAGGTCAAGGAGAGACAAGAATCTAAACTAAGGAGATGGCAGTAAAACTGGAGACTTGGCAACATAAGAAAGACCAGTGATGAATCTGCAGATGGGGAGGGACGAGTCAAGGATGGCTTCCAGTTTCTGGCTTGCTTAAGCCTGTGTGGGAAACAGGAGGAGGAGAAGATTCTGACGATCTGCTGCTGCTCAGGTCGACTTTGAGGATTCTGTGGATCACCCAGGAGAGAGGCTGGGTCTGTGGGTAGAAATAGAAACCTGGGGTTCAGGCTGGGGCTGGGGTAGGAGGCTTAGGAGATAATAGAAGTTGAATCTGGGAGTGCAGATGAAATCCCTGGGAAGCACCAGGATTTAAGAGGCTGGTGGATGCAGAAGAGCCTGCCAATGAGAGGGAGAAGGAGCGCCAGCGATGGAGGAGGAAACCCACACAAATAATGTCTGAGAGAAACACACACACACACACACACACACATAATGGTAAAGATGATGGACGATGGACACAGGCAGGGCACGGTGGCTCATGCCTATAATCCCAGCACTTTGGGAGGCCGAGGCAGGTGGATCACTTGAGCTCAGGAGTTTAAGACCAGCCTGACCAACATGGTGAAACTGCCCCCCATCTCTACTAAAAATACAAAAATTATCCAGGCCTGGTGACACACACCTGTAGTCCCAGCTACTCGGGAGGCTGAGGCAGGAGAATCACTTGAACCTGGAAGGCGGAGGTTGCAGTGAGCAGAGATCGTGCCACTGCACTCCAGCCTGGGTGACAGAGTGAGACTCTCTCTCAAAAAAAAAAAAAGAAGAAGAAGAAGATGGACACAGCATGAACAGCAGGTGAATCTGGGTAAGGGATAAGTGGGTATCTTATGTACTATTCTTCAACTTTTATGTAAGTTCAGAATTATTTCCAAATGAAAATTAGAAAAACAAAACAAGGAAATGTACAAGAGGAAGACAGTCAATTACATAGACAGACCAAGTCAGATGAAGACTGAGGAGTATTCATCAGACGTACCCACAAATGTTCTTTGGGGATCTTGGCATGGGTACCATCCATGGGAAGGAGGGGACAGATGCCAGGCAGCAGGGTTAGTCAGTGAAATAGGAGGAGAGGAAGTGAGAAGGTGAGCGAGGTAAGAGGCTTGGCTGTGAATGGGAAGATAGGATAGGCTGTGGCCCAGGAATGACCCTCCAAGCCCCCACTACGGAAGCAATCCTTCCAAAGCACTTTGCACCCCAACATGGGGCACAAGAGGGGCCCTTCAGTGCTTGACAAATGGATGCATGAAAAGATGGATGAGTACATTTTCAACAAGGACCAAGCGAGCCTAGCCTCGGGGCTGCAGGCTCCTGGGCAGTGAGTGTTAATGGGGTGGGGGCTTGGTCACCCTGGGAAGGGGGCTGAGCAGGGGATCCTGTGTCCCCCAGCCTCATTCCACACACCGTGCTGCCTGCCTCTGATCCCCTTCACACTCAGACTCTGCTTGCCCAGGCCGCCCCAAGCTCTGCTCATCTCTACTCTGCACCCACTCCCCGACCTGGTGTTTCCCTCAGGTTCACACGCGAGGCGGCTCAGGACTGCGAGGTGCTGGGGCAGCGCATCCCCGCAGGTGCTGTGCTAGAGATGGCCGTGGGTGCCCTGCACCATGACCCTGAGCACTGGCCAAGCCCAGAGACCTTCGACCCTGAAAGGTGAGTGCTGCGCCTTTTAAAAAGCTCTGAAGGCATGTGTGTGGGGTATAAATTTACCAGTGGAGGCAGCAGCCAGGAGGCACAGACTTAGCAAAAGCGTCCCCAAATAGTCAAAACTTACGGCAATTCAGATAGATGTTTACAAGGCATAATTTCCAAAGGAAGTAATTATACCATTTTTTCAAGGTCCAAACTGAATCCAGACATTTAGCATTTCAGCAGCCCTGCATGCAAGAAACAAGGCAATTTCAAATGATTGTCTTCCATTCATTCAAGCCAGGACATGGGATACAGGATTGTATTTCAGGTCTGCACTGGAAAGTAACAGAACATCATTTCCTGTTTTAAAAACGGGCGTCTATGCCAAAACAACAGCTTCAGCTAATGTCTCCATGAATCTAAATTCATGGGATCTGCTGGTTGACCTGGGTCCCCTCCTTCTACCACCTGGCTTTGGTTCATTGTCTCCTCTCATTTCTGGACTCTGTGATTGGAAACATCTGAGCAGGCAGCCACACCCTGGTCCTCATCAGAACCAGTCAATACCTCCTCTGTGTGCATGGTCTGGCAAGGGAAAGGCTGGCCCGGCACCAGTTGTGTTTTCACCTTTCGTGGCTCCAACTGAATTCAGCCCAAGTTTACAACCCAGTCACTGGGAAAGCGTGAGCAATGGGATCTACACAAATAATATTCCACAGACATCAGCTCCTGAACACGCTGCAGCCACAGGGCTTACAGCCTCACAATAAAGTCCAGGGTAGTAAAAGGTGAGCTCGCTGTTCCAGAAGAGTGCCACCTAGCTCACTGTCATGGGCTGCACGCGGCAGGCAAATGCACTACTTGGTAGGAGATTCAGCAGTTCTGAGGAAGGGCCTCCAGCTCTCCAGGTACTGCAGCTCCCAATGGTTCAAGTGTCCAGTGCAGCATGGGCAGGAGAGGTGCTGCCAGTGTGGTTCAAGAGACCTGCAGGGCAAGTCAGTAGGACACGCCCCCCAGGGTGGGCCCGGGAGGTGCTGAGGTGCCTGGTACCCTGCCAAGGAAGTAAGCTGGTGGTGGCTGGGTCATCCTGTGGGAGGGGAGGTGGTGCCCTGGGCCCAGGTGAGGACTAGGATCGCCAAGCCCTGGGGTTCAGGGATGCCATGTTTAGACTCTGATTGTGGGTGGCGGTGAGTCTGTGGGCTTATTAGCCACACATCGAATTCCTAAGGAGAGGCGGGGAGGGCGCTGTGGACATTCCAGGTGATTCTGCGGATTCAGCTCTGCCTCTGGGGCTGTGCAGGAAGACAGGAGGCCAGGAGCAGAGAGTGACTGAGGCTCAGGAATGAGCAGCCATAAGCTCCCAGAGCCTTGGGGACATCCTTGTCTCAGATGCAGGGGTGGCTCAGCTGGAGTACAGGGCTGCAGAGGGGAGGGAGAGGGTGTTCTGAGCCAGCCCTGACCACACGGACCTGCAGGTTCACCGCTGAGGCTCAGCAGCAGCACCGGCCCTTCACGTACCTGCCCTTCGGGGCCGGCCCACGAAGCTGCCTTGGGGTGCGGCTAGGGCTGCTGGAGGTCAAGTTGACACTGCTCCATGTGCTGCACAAGTTCCAGTTCCAAGCCTGCCCTGAGACCCAGGTGAGGCCCCACTGCTCAGAGGCAGGGGCAGGGGCGGGGGTGGGGGGGCCACCCCAGTTCTCTGCATGAGAGCGGGCCAGCCTGGGGGCAGCATCAGGCTCTGCCTCCGTGAGCCTGGGCGAGCTTCTTAACCTCTCTTGGCCTCAGTTTCTTGATCCATAAAGTGGAGATGATAACAATACCCTCTACCTCTTAACGTCCTGTGAGGATTCAGTGAGTTCACATAGCACTCAGATAAGCCGAGGACATGTTAATCATTATTAGTATTGTTCTCTGCACATCAGGGCTGGACCTCACCTCGCTGTAGCTCTTCTCACTTCCACAAAGGGCACAGAGACAATGGCATTTGCAGTTGTGACATGTGCCTGCCTTTGTGGGGTGGGGGGTGCATGGCTTGTCCTACAGAGGCTGGAGACACTTCCTCTGGCTCCTCCTGACAGAGCAAGGTGCGGTCTGCTTGGAGGGGAAGCTGAGGGGTTTCACCTCCTTGAAGGGTACCCCCAGCTTTGCCTTCCCCTCTTGTGCAGACACACATGTCCCCATGGCCACAGCCTGGTCCCTCTCACAAGTGGTGACACAGACTCTTCCCAACAACATATGCCTTCATTCCTGAGGTCCCAGACTGGTGCACAGACCCTGTCCTCACCCAGAGAGCTGGGCTCCCCTGAAATGGGGCCCTACCCACTTTTCCAGCATTATTTCCCCCGCACATCACACACTCCAGATCCAGCAGACCAATTCCTCAACACGTCAGGGAGCTTATATCATCCCCTTTCACACAGCAATCTCGCAGAGTAGGAGTGACTATTCCCATTCTTTAGATGAGGAACTAAAGCTCAGAGAGGTTAAATAACTTGCCTAAGGCCACACAGTTGGACTACCGGCTTCGTGATGGCAGGGACCCAGCCTGTCATATTCACTGTTGGACTCTGCAGCATCTAGCTTAATGTCAGGTGCATGACAGGGACTGACTCATTCATTCAACATGAATGAGCAAATGGATAAGCAGCCAGAGATGCAAGAAACGGGGGTCCTCACCCAGATCCTGCTGACTCCCAAGCTCTCCCTCCTTCCTGACATCCGACTGCATCTCTGCACAGCGTTAGCTATTCCCTGTCCATTCCAACCACTGCTGTCCCCTGCACCTATCCTCATGCTGGTCCTGCCATCCGGAACCCTCCGTTCAGCTGCAGACCTGGACACACAGGCACAGGAAGGCATAAGGACACAGTGACAGCGACAATTCTAGATTGAAACAGGCAGTGTCTCTGACAGAGAACATGGGACCAGCTGCTGGTCCTGGAAGAATAATGAGCTTGGGTGGGGGGACACAAGAGTCTGAGGTACTGAAATTGAGCGCATTCACACACTCTAGGCTGCAGAGAGGGAGGGGCAGATCGACAGCGCAGAGCCAAACCAAGTGAGGTCAAGGGGCAGACGGAGGAGCAGCCCCACTGCGTCAGGGCTTCCACGTGTGTGGGGCTTGCCTCACTTCCCCATGATCTCTATATAACAGCCAGCCCAGTCTCCCAAAACACTGCTTATGCCTGGCACTCCCCAGCTTAAGAACCAGCCATGAGTCGAGGGCTCCCCATTCTTCCTTGTCTGCTGACAAGTGCTAGGGCCTGCAGCTTTTTCAGATGCCTTTGAGGGCTGTGGTTCCTACAGGAGACACGTACAGCCCCAAGCAGTAAGACCCTGGTGACTCATTGCTGTCACATTAGCCACTGGGTCATCATTTTACTCATGGCTCCAGAGGAAACCCAACTCCTTGAGTAATTCTTTGGCTTTTCTTCAAAGCCCCAAGTCCACCACTGGCTCTGCCTTTTGGACATAGGAAAGCTTTCTGGATGTCAGTGAGGCCAGACCACAGCACATATGAGCAGGAACAGCATGAAGCTGCTCTCCCCAGAGCCCCTCAGCCAGAGGGCATTGCTGTTACTGGCCAGGGCTGGGGAGTGAGATGGGGAGGATCGGCAGGGATGGCTGCAGTCACTGAAAGATAGGTTTGGGCCTTTGCTCTCTGCTTTCCTCTTCTATGACCTTGGACAAGGGACTTGGCCTTCTTGAACCTCCAAGTCTTCATTTGTACAGTGAGACGCTACTACCTCTTTGACAAATATTTTAATTTTCTCTACTTTAGGTACCGCTGCAGCTAGAATCCAAATCTGCCCTAGGTCCAAAAAACGGTGTCTATATCAAGATTGTATCCCGCTGACACAGAAGGCCGCCGGGTGGAGGGAGGGCACCCCCAAATTCAAAGAAAACCCTGAGTGTGGATATTCAGAATTTTGGGAAAATGTCACTGAAGGGATTGAAAGAGTGCCTGGCATGCAAGGATAAGAGGTTCTTTACACAACATTTCCTAAATGCTTAATAAACGTTTGTTGCACTTAGTTTTGACATTGCCAATGGGGTTTGAACCAGTGCTCTAACTCCCTAAATGAAGGACTGCTGATAAATAAGCGAAAATGTAGTTTTGACAAAACAACTGAGAATGTGGGGTTTCAAAGGAAGTCCCAGGCTTGTGCTGAAAGGAATCCATGGTGCAGGGCACACGAGGACACCCAGGTAAGCCTGTCCTGATGGCACCAGCTCATGGCTCTTTCGGCTTCTCGTGCATTGTGGAGTTGTAGAGAATGACATTTATCAGTAGTTCAACCTCAACAGTGGTTCCAAAGCTTTATAATGCTTTGATTTTTCTAGGTAGGGTAGTACCAACTTTCTAGTCAAGTTTTAATCAACAGAAAAAGGAAAGAGTCTGAAAAATGACATACTTTTTCTTTTAAAGAACACTGTATTGGCCGGGCGCAGTGGCTCACGCCTGTAATCCCAGCACTTTGGGAGGCCGAGGCGGGTGGATTGCCTGAGGTCAGGCATTCGAGACCAGTCTGGCCAACATGGTGAAACCCTGTATCTATTAAAAATACAAAAAAATTAGCCAGGCGTGGTGGCGCGTGCCTGTAATCCCAGCTACTTGGTAGGCTGAGGCAGGGGAATTGCTTGAACCAGGGAGGTGGAGGTTGCAGTGAGCCGAGATTGCGCCACTGCATGCCAGCCTGGGTGACAGAGCAAGACTCCATCTCAAAAAGAAACAAAAAAACACTATATTAATTTTGATCAAAGAATCAAAACACAGAGGTGATTTTTTGTAAAAGTAATTATTGTGCTGCTAAGCAGTTCACATTCAACCAAGCACTTGCAAGGTCAGTCTCAAGGTCAGCCACCAGCAGCTGTGCACTCGTGGCTGCTGGTGAAGAGCAGCATCACCTCCGTGCCTCAGGGGCCTCTTCTGTAAAATAAGGAGGCTGGCCCCAATCAAAGACCTCTTCCTCCTCTAGTTGACACCTGAGCAGCTTTAAGGGGCTGGATGTTGTATAGAGAATGATCTTGCAGAAATCTGGAAGCCCCTTATGTGGCACCCAGATGCTGATGACCCACCTTTAGAAACTTCAGGCCATTTTGTGAGTGTTGGCAGAACGGGTTTCCACATATTCACTGCTGGGACTGCCGCCTCCAATGTTTGATGGTCCCCCATCCCCTTCAGCCCAGAGCACCCACTGCGTCCCTCAAAGTACCCCATGGGGGGGCCCTTTCTCTCATTCTCTGGCCCTCTGGGCAGGAAGAGGACACCCCAGCTGCCCAGCACTGGGCCAGGCCTGTGAGTGACTGCTGCCTCAAGGTGCAGGGCTGTCCTGTGGCCCTCCCTCCCCACACCCTTGTTGCCACCACCTGCCCTTCTCCATTACCTGGCCCCTCTGCAATGCCCAGCCTGGGACTCAGACTCACTGAAGAAAACCATCGGACTCCCTGCCTGTCCCACAATCCCTGACCTCCCCATGGCCACCACCACCATAGAACCTCAGCCTGCAGACAGGCCCAGTGGCGCACTCAGCTCCCTGCCTGGAACACAGCCCCACAACCTGAGCCCTCCCTTGGGACCTCTGGCCCCACTCCCCGGGCCGTCAGCTCCATCCAGCTTCCCTCACCTTCCCCGTTCAGGTGGTCATCACCTTCAGACACAGTGGTAGAGGCCTCCTCATGTGCTGGGGTCACTGGACTCCAGTCCTTCTACTGTGTGAACCCACCAACCTCACCTCTGCTTAAATCCCACTGTTCACATCCAATACCAGCTATCACAGGGCAGGGAACTGTGCCGCCTGGTCCTCCAAAAAACCCTCTTGCTAGATTCCCAACTGGGTCCTCACAAAGATTCTGACCAATCCCACACACATACACCCATGTTCCAGACCCTGCCACCTCTTGGCACCAAACATCTTGAGAGTCACAATCATTTTGACCCCTTCCCATCACAACGTCCGCCCTTTCTGCACCGGCAGGAACAGCTCCCTCCCCGTCATCAGGCAATCTGGCCACATGGCTCCCACCCTCCCTAGCATTGCTGGTCCAAGGAGTTGCTCTTCCTAACCTGCTTTCTCCCAGGTCACCCAGTCATGGCTGCCGCAGTCTTCACAGCTCAGTGGACTTTTCCAGAGCATTTGAGCACCTCCCACCAGATCCCTCTGGCCGCTCTCCCCATCTACACCCTCAATGAACCAGTTCTGCTCCCCGAATCTCCCCAGCTCCCAGATGATTCAGAAGCATAGGATCAGTTCACTTACATGTGAGCAACAGACGTGATTTAATGGTTTTCTCTGACACCTCTTTGCCCCCTGCCCAACTACACCATAGCAGGACCAATGACTTAATGAAAAAGCAGTGAGTGAAATGGCAGGATCAGTCAGGCTGCGAGGGAAATTTGGAGGGGTTCTGAAAATCATACCACGGATAACCACGTGGCTGACCCAGCTGCTGGGTGAAGCTGCGTTCTTGCTGTTTCTCTGGTCACTTACCTTGGATCTCCTCCAGCTTGACTGTACTTGCCTGTGTTAAGGTTTCAGATCACTCCAAAGATGGAAAAATGGTTCATACTCACCTTGGACCTGAGAAATACAGACAAGCCAACTGAAGCCCAAGCAGCAAGCTGCCAGCAGACACATGTCCTCGGGAAGGTGGAGGCTGGGCAAAAAGCAGGTAGTGAGGACCGAGCAGGGAGGGCTGCCAGCCCCTCTGCCAACAGGACCAGAACCAGCCAATGCCCAGAAGGGAGGCTCCTGTAAACTGCCACATGTCGGGGACACACACAACACACTCTCCACATGCACAGCACATTGCTCAATGGTGAACCTGGGTCTTATGGGGCCTGAAACTTACCTACGAATTGGAGGAAAGAAAAAAAATACGTAATGTTTGCAAATTTTACCAAAACCTATGACCACGTGAGCACATTGCTAGGGCCCCTCCTAGGGCCTGGGGAGGGGCTCCAGCAAGTGAGGGGCCCTGAACCTTCAGCTTCATTGTCTTCATAATAAACCCACACATAGCTCACCAAGCCGTGACATCAGCTCTGTCACAGCCCCGATACGGTCTGAATGTTATGACCCCCAAAATTCCAATGTTGAAATCCTCACCCCTGACGTGATGGTATTTAAAGTAGAGGTGATGAGACCACCAGGGCGGAGCCCTCATGAATGAGATTCAGTGCCTTATAAAAGAGGCCCTTACACCGTGTGGGGTTACAGTGAGAAGACTGAATCTATGAGGAAACAGGAGGTTGGACTTCCCAGACTCCAAACCTGGGAAATAAACGTCTGCTGTTTATGAGCCGCTCAGTCGATGGTGTTTTGTTACAGCAGCCCAAATGAACAAAGGCAATCCTGACTCTCAGAAAAACGCCTGGCACCCAGCAGGTGCTCAATCAATAGACGCAGACAAATGAGCTTCAGTCTTCATCCACTTTGGATAAATTTTCTTTTATTTCCATACTCTTTTGTGACATGTGTGGCACAGGTATTCAATCTCACGGGGATGTTTATTAAAACCCGCATTCAGAGGGTGTCCAGTGTGCTTAGGAAATGTGGGTTTGGGCACTCACAGGCCAAGCCTGGGGGTCCTCGGGGAAGCTACTCCTCCAGGTCACCTGCCAAGTGGATGTACTTCCTTTGGCAATGGGTGACCCTACCAGGACAAGGGGAACCAGCAGGGACTCGATGGCACCACATAGCAGCCACCTGTTCTGACAATGTGACACAGACCAACTAATGCCAGAGCCCAGGAGAAGCCACAGCAGAGCTGCCTGGGTTGGTGTCAGAGCAACAGGCGGAAGTGACTATGCCACCCCTGGGCTGTCCTCCACCAGTGGCTACTGTGTCATTCTGGTAAAACTATGATGCCATGAGACTCTGAAAAACCGAATCACTGCAGAGACAAACTCATAAAAATTAAAACCAATCCATAAAATTGTATCTAGAAACTCTGTCCCTGGTGCCAATAAGCAGCAAAGTCAACAAAGAGTAAAAACTAAAACTTCAACACATTATTAAAAAGCAAAAACTGGACTCAACTACAATCACTTCTGGTTAGTCCACTAGTGAGCCCAAAAGTGACTTAAAAGTAAAAATCATTATTAGCAATAGATTAATAATATAACTTCATTGAGAGGTCAACATTAAATGAATAGTTCATTAAAAGTTTTCTGTTTAAAAAGAAAAGGAAAGGCCCAAATTGCCATTTCAAGGCAGAGCAGGCGAAAGGCCTGGAACACTCTGGTGCACTCACTGTCGGCTGCTGAACAGGGAGCCCAAGGCCAGCAGGATGGAGGGCGTGACCGAGGGCTTGGAGGAGGTGGTGTACTGGATGAGATACTCCGGGTAGACCTGGTGTTTCTCAAAGATCACAAAGATGGATGGGTCAGACACGCTGTTCACGCAGCTATCATAGAAGGCGTTGCTCCGGCCCTCCTTGGCTGGGGGGCGGACAAAGGAGGCATTGCCCCTGACGAACTCGCCCACCAGCACCCGGGCCAGGAACATTGTGTGGGTCTGCGTGTCGGATTTGCTGTAGTGGTGGGAATACGCAGCATCTCGGGCAAAGTAGCTCCCTGAAATGACACACAAGGGTTCAGCTGGGTGCCTGGTGGAGGGGCCCGCAGCCAGGAAGGGTCAGCCCACTCCGGACAGCGTCCTGGTGATGTGCAAAACCAGGGGCCTCTACTCTTCCACCCTGCATCTCCCTCCCTCCCTCCCTCTGTGCCATGTCTCCACTCTCCCTCATGAAGTCACACGCATCAGTGACACCAACACCCTTCTGAGTGGCAGCATCTGAGGAGTTACTAAACTGAGAGCACAAACTCCTTTCAAGTTCCAGATCTGCCCCACAAAACCTAAAGGCCTCTGGACACGTCACTACTTAATCCCTAAAACCTCAGATTCCTCAGGCATAAAATGGGGCTGTTCAGCCCAACCTCACAGGGTTGTCATGGAAAACGAATGAGATCCCATATGTGGAAGCAGTCTGAAGACTCCGGCAGCCCAATGAATAGAATTATGAGCCTTGTCAAATGGAAACCTGAGTTGGAAGCTGTCACCTATACATTTGAATTCACAAGTCTACCACTGGCTGCTGTCCATCTTGACCCCACGCCATTGCTACCTCAGATGGGAACTGACTGATGGACCTGGAACATGGACTGCTGGGCAGAAAATGTTCTCGACTTGGTAAGCATAATGTGGTTACAGAAGATAATGTCCTGTTCTTGGGATGTGTTAAAGGGTGAAAGGAGACAATATACGCCACCTACCTGAAAATGGTTCAGAAAGAGAGAGAGGGAGAGAGAAAGAGAGAAGTGGCAACATGTTAAAACCAATGAATCCAGGTAAAATGTACCCAAAGAGTTTTTCTTTACTATTATTATTCCAATTTTCTTGAATTTGGAATTATTTCCAAAGAAATAACATTTTAAAACTTTCTTTGGCAAGTTTAAAAATAACTAAGAAGACAAGAAAACACTCAGATAACTCACAGGATAGCTAGAATACATGTTTACGTGAGTATCTCTGAGGGTTTCTGGTTTCTATTCTAAGGAAATCAATAGTAAAGGCACAGTCAGGGACTTGATCAGGGCTGGGAAGGTATCCCCTCTCCTCTCCCATCTCTGTCACCATCTTCCAGGGCCTCTGCTCCACAAGGAAGCAACACACCAGCCTAGGCAGGCCACCCTGCCCACGTCTGGGGTCAAGCTCCTGGTCATGCCCAGAGAAGCAAGAGCAAGGAGGTGGCTGGTAGCCATGCCCAGGTACGACCACACACAGAGTTTGAACCTGCTTATTGGCTCAGGCTGGTCCCCTCATGCCCTCTCGCAGTCTGTTCCTATGCAGGGGCGAAGCAACACGGGTTCTGCTGGTGGAGACCAATCATGACTTACCCTTGCCATAGGAAGTGCCATGAACACCACAGACCCGCCAGTCAAAGTTCTGCTGGCAAATGGCATCCACGAAAATGGCGCTGGTGCCATGGAACAGCTGCCGCTCGTCCACGGCCTTCCCTCCATTCTGCTTCTGCATCTGTCCTTTTTGCCTAGGATCACAGAAGAACGTGTGCTGCGGGAAGAGTGTGCCGGCCACCAAATACAGCCGGCCTGATACAAAACAACACATTTTTCCAAAATTCCAAAAGTGTCCTGAGACCAGGAGATGCAGGTCACAGGCTACCAAGACTAGGCCTGTGAGGCTCCAGCCACAAGCCAGGGTGTGGGAAAGAAGGGGGATCGTGGGAGCGGGGTGAAAACCCTCCCTCCACAGCTCCAGACTGCAGCGGCTCCCTGGACTCCAAAAGCAGAGCAGCCCTGGGAAAATGGGTACCATTTTCCCCAACCCCATCCCCACCTTGCTCCTGGATGGAGCTGAGCCCTGAGATGCTGTAGGAGAGTTTTGAGGCCCCAGTCAGTGGGTGCCCATCCTTCTCCTCTCTGTTCCCAGACTTCATCATTGTGCACAGAGTACAGATGACACTGCCCCAACCCCATGTGGGGACAGGTCAGCAAGACCCAGCCTGCCATGGTGACCTGTTGTAGGATTCCTCCCCACATAGACAAGTGAGTGGGCGTCCAAGGACAAACCAGTCCTCATGCATGAACCTAAGACCCCTGCTCTCCAGCCACAGCCTTGTGTTCCTGGGGCTAAGGGTGTGGTGGGCTGTACTGACCCATCCCACTGGTCTCCGGGAAGGCAGAATGGAGAAGTGAGAGTGCTGGCTTTGCCAGTGCTCATGAACAGGATCAGGTGGTACGCTCTGGGGAGCCTCGGTGCCCTCACCTCTACAGTGGGATGTGCTACCACACTGCCCTGGGGGAGCGGATGACGGACAGCAGACACACAGCTCCCAGCACACGGCAGCCCTGTCGCTCTGCTTTTCCTGGAAACCCGGGCCACATGTGGCAATCAGCCAGCAGTGTGAAGGGACAAAGCCACCAGCCCACCAACAGCGAGCCCCAACGCACCACTGGTAGACTTCCCAGAGGGCCAGGTTCTGTACTCGCTCAATCTTCTGAACAAAGTAGAAAGGCAGCGTGCGGTTAAAGAGGTTCCAGACCTTCTGATACTCTTCCGAGGAAGAACTAAGGGTGATCTTCTGCAAGAGGTAAATGTTTTTAATGCATTATCGTCAACGTGCAGAATATAAATCAGTCCCTTCCCAAGGCTTCTTGTAAACATTAGAACTGCAGAAGCACAAATGCCCAGACAGCAGCAACCACACTCCCACCTCCCTGATGACATGGTCTCTCCAGGCACAGGAGACAATCAGTCCTCACGAAACTTCGTTGATAGGTTCTTGGAAACTGCAATTTTAAGTAAAACAACAAACTGCATGCCATAGGAACTTAACTCTTATGTCAGTTAGCATATGGGAAATTGGTTTCATCAGACAATATGTTGTTTCACTTTGAGTCAGTTTCCAAGAACCTACTGATGACGTTGAGGATTTACTATGTTTGCAATTGTAGTCACTTTGCTCCTTATCACTGTGAAACCAATCTAAAGGACAGACATGTAATGCTTAAGCCACCATCCTGGGTATCCCCTGGATGTCCCTGCTCTTCTATTTTTTGTCCCACACAGGCCAAAGACACAGGTTGGATTACATGGTCCAAGGACCACAGAGTTGTTGTCTAGACAAAAGTGTTGAACCCCTTCAGGTTCTCAGCACTTCTTGCCTGCACTGTTGGCATCTGTATGTGCCTTGTACAAGCTCAGTAAGTCCTCCCAGGACAGAGACCATCATGTTGTAAAGCTGAGTTGCACAGTGCTCCGCGGCCAGCCAGCCGGCAGACGTCAGCCCAGGTGCCTCACGCAGACAGGCACCATCAGATGTGAGTCTGCGTACTCTCCTGCACTCAGCACAGCTCCCACTGGTCAGAGCCCCTCAACAAGCTGCCGAACTCACTGTCCATTCTCCTGTCTGCTAGTCGTGAATGTCTTCCCTCCTGACAGTAACCCCCTCCAAATGTCCATCAGACTCAGGTCCTCCCCAGGCTTCTCTTCCTTCTCTCGCTTAGTAAAATTGGTATTTATTGGTTAAGCCCAGCCCAAAAGCTCCTTATTTCTGCCCTTTCTAGCAAATTTCACAGCTCATCCTCCTCCCTCCATAAGGCAACCCCTCCCCTCAGAGCCACAACCACCTCCTGGGCAGTGAAAAAACAAAACCCTCTGCAAAAAAAAAAAACAAAAACAAAAAGCCCACATCTGTCACTGCCCTCCTGCCCCAATTAGCCCCAGCCTTACAGCTTCTTCAGTGTTGAGGAATAGCACAGTCTGTTCACACATACCCACCTCTACAGAACACGTTCCTGTTCAACCCCAGGCACACGTGTCCCCTACCTGAAAGCCTGGGTCTGGCAGGGCAGAGGAGTCCCAATAGTCTGGGATGCTCTTCGGGCCTGGAAACTTGGTATTGCTACAAAAATGTAAACAAAAACACGTAGACATTTTATTCTTACACAAAGCAAATCTACCATAGGTGGTCTCTGCTAGCCAATATCACCAGTCTTCAGTCTCAGCGTATCATATTTTAAGAGCAGGTAGAAGGCAAGGAAGAATGTTAACATAATACTCACAACATGAGAGCACTTTTATCTTTGCCTATGTAGCCAAACAGTCCTGAGAGATCTATTTCTCGCCTGTGTCCCAACTACCACACAAAAGGGACAAAAGGGATGGAGTATGTGGTTAAAACAGTATACACAGGGCCATAAACCTTTATCCACAATTCTGAAATTCTAAGAGCTCTAAAGACATTTTTTTAAGGCCTCAATGAGGTATAATTGACATTTAAAAACTGTTTTTATACAGCTCAGGAAAACCAGGAGAAAAAATGAAATAAAACATTTTTTAAAAAACCTAAGTGACATCAAAACTCATGTGGCAATAGAAATTTGACTGAAGTTAGTAAGAGGCCATTGTGGTCTGTATCTATCCTTCTTAAACTGACTATGCATATTCTTTACTGCAGAAATACTAATGTGCTAAAATATAAAGTGTCACGTGATACAAGCATCACATTATCTTTCTAAAAATAAATAAATAAAAGCGGTTCAAAAGACATATGGCTCAAGGGTTCAGGAACAAGGACTGTGAAACTATAATTACAAATCATTCCTATTAAATTTCAGAATACACTGTTCTTTCTAAATAGATCTACCTTCTGTTTCTGCTGGCATGAAACATATACCTTCATCCTGAGCCTCAAAGCACTCCCACAAATAACTTTCCTTGGAAAATGGCACAGTTCAAAAATAACTAAGCAAGGTCCTACCAGCAGCAAGAATCAGCCAAAAACAGACCCACAAAGACTTATGATGCTGAAATTATCAGACAGATTAAAAACAATTATTCCTCCTAGGTTTAAAGAAAAAAAAAAGACAAACTTTAAAAACATATGTAAAGAACAGAAAACTATAAAAAGACCTGGAAGATCTAAAAAAGAACCAAATAGAACTTACAGAAATTATAAGTACAATCCTTAATAATAAAAGTGCAGTGGACAGGCTTAACAGCAGATTAGACCAGCTGGAGGGAGAATCAGTAAGCTGAAAGATATGTGAAATGCAATTGTCCAGAATGTGACCCACAGCAACAAGGAAATGGAAAATGCAGGAAGGAAGTTGAGACATGGAGAACAGTGAGAACTGGAATATAATCAGAACCTAAGTGAAGCTCTAGGAGAGGAGAGAGAAGACAGTGGAGGCGATTTTCAAAGAGAACTGACGAGACGCACCAATCCGCAGCTTAAGAAGCGCGAAGAATCTCAGCCATGATAAATAAAAAGCACATACCTAGACACACTTTAGTGAGGATGCATAACTCCAAGACAAACAAAAGTTCTTAAAGGTAGCCAAAGGAAAAAAGAGTGATTACTGCCAAAGAAGCACCTGTTAGACCAACAGGCAATTTCTCAAAAGCAACAATGGAAGCCAGAATACAGCAGAGTGGTCATCACCAATGATCCGAGAGAAAATCCCTACAACCCGAAATTCTATACCCAGTGAAAATTTCCTTCAAGAATGAGAGCAAAATAAATACATACTGGCTGGGCGCGGTGGCCCACACCTGTAATCCCAGCACTTTGGGAGGCCAAGGTGGGCAGATCACTTGAGATCAGGAGTTCAAGACCAGCCTGACCAACATAATGAAACCCCATCTCCACTAAAAATATAAAAATTAGCCAGGCATGGTGGCGCACGCCAGTAGTCCAAGCTACTCAGGAGGCTGAGACAGGAGAATCACTTGAACTCAAGAGGCGGAGGTTGCAGTGAGCCAAGATCATGCCAGTGCACTCTGGCCTGGGCGACAGAGTATAACTCCATCTCAAAATAAATAAATATATACATACATATTCAGACAAACCAAAAACAGAGTTTTCAACAAATCTTCATCAAAGGCAGGCTTGTCCATCTGCAGCCCGCAGGCTGCATGTGACCCAGGACAGCCTTGAATGCGGCCCAACACAAATCTGTAAACTTTCTTAAAACATCATGTGATTTTTTTGTGATTTTTTTTTTTTAGCTCAACTATCGTTAGTGTTAGTGTATTTTATGTGTGGCCCAATTCTTTTTCTTCTAATGTGGCCCGGGGAAGCCAAAAGATTGTACATCCCTGATCTAAGGTAATCTGAAAGGACAAAGTGGTAAAAATGTGATTACATTTAATGAAACTTTCAGAGTACAAAATAACAGTGCCTCTTGAGGTTTAAAAACAGTTGAGAGGAAGGCAAATGGAAGAAAAGACAGGAGGATAAAGACAATGATTTACTTGTATGTAAGTGAAGAACATGTAGTTTCTACCATAGCCTTTAAAATACATATATACACAAAAAAAGGTAAGAAAAGAAAAAATAAGACCCAATGACATGAATGAAACATTTTCATGGAGGATGGGCAACATGGTGAGACCCTGTCTCTACAAAAAATAAAAAAAATTAGCTGGGCATGGTAGGGCATGCCTGTGGTCCCAGCTACTTGGGAGGCTGAGGTGGGAGGACTGCTTGAGCCCAGGAGGTGGAAGGTGCAGTGAGCCGTGATCACACCACTGCATTCCATCCTGGGTGACAGAGTGAGATCCTGTCTCGTAAGTAAATAAATAAATAAATAAATTTTACATGACATTCCTGTATTATAACTTCTGAATATGGGCATTACGTTTTATGACTCCATTAATTGTGTAAATAGAAAAGTTGTTTCTGAAAGTGATCTACCCTCAGCTTCCCAGTTGGCCATGCAGGCCCAAGCAGACTTGCTGCTGCAGTTAATGACAACCAGCTGCTGGCACATGGGTCAGAGAGAAGAACTGAACTCTTCATCTGTGTGAACAGTGTGTGACACTCCGCTTACAGGAGACCCCAAATCACTCAGATCTTAGTCTGAATCACTTTTAGTTTGGACATTTGGCATCTTCTTGTGGACCCCTGAAAACTAAATTAGAATGACAACAAGAGAGATCTACTCTCAGAAAGCAGAGAGACTTTTCCAAACCTTGTCTAAGGTGGGCTTTGTATAGGAAAAGAATAAAAAATGACTTCCAGAAATAGGAGGGTCATAATCAACCAAAACTCTAAGTCCAGAATCAGTAAGAGACTGATACATTTAACTAGAATGATAAGAAATATATCTTTATGGTAAAATACTTCATAGGCAAAGTCAAAAGGCAAACAACAAACTAAGAGAAAATATTTGCCATTTACATAACAAAACGAAGGCAAATCTCCCTAATAGATAAAAGGCTCTTGATATTTAAGAAAAATATCAGAAAGTTGATAGAAAAATGAATAAAAGACCAACAGTCCACAGAAAAAGAAGCAAAAATGGCACTTACATGTTAGAAATAATATTCAACCTCACTCCTAAGAGAAAGCAAACTCAAGTCCACTGACCCATCTTTTACCCCTGAGAACTGCAGAAGCTCAAGAGCCTGACAACTCACTCTGAGGCATCTCATGCATCCTAGTGGGTGTGCATAATGATTCAAGCCCATGGAAAGGAACTTGGCTTACTTTCTAGGACTCTGATCTAACAGGATACCTCCAAAATTTGTAGGTTTTTTTAATTAAAAAAAAAAAATAGAGACAGGGTCTCACTATGTTGCCCAGGTTGGTCTCAGACTCCTGGGCTCAAGCGATCCTTCCATCTTGGCCTCCCAAAGTGCTGGGATTATAGGTGTGCACCACTGCACCAGGCCATACCTCCAAAATTTGAAACAGCACATACATCAAATGGTTCATCACGGCATTATATTTTGTAATAGCAAAAGACTGAAAACAACACAAACATCCATGAAAAGGGGACATATTAAGTAAACTATGGTACATACATATTAAGGAGAACAGGAAAGAAGAAACAGATTGAGGAAGTTAATGAACTGAAACAAAGTGATTATTAGGATCTATTTTTAAGTGAAAAAAAAGGGTATAAAACAGTATAGATAGCATGTTCCCTTTCATGCAAGAAGAGAAGAAAATACTTCCATATGTGTGTATGCAAATGCTTATTTTTGCAAAGAGAAACATGAAAAAGAAAAACCAGAAACTAATGTTACCCACAGTGGGAACAGGGCAGAGATAACAGGGAGAACGTTACAGACTACAGAGAATACCATTTTATATAGGTTTGACTTTTAATCACGTAAAGGTTTTTTACACAGTCAAAAACAATAATAATAATTATTTTTGAGACAGGGTCTCACTCTGTCACCCAGGCTGGAGTGCAGTGGTGGGATCTCGGCACACTACAGCCTCGACCTCCCCGGGCTCAGACATCCCTCCCATCTCAGCCTCCTGAGTAGCTGGGACTACAGGAGCACAGGCTGGTCTCAAACTCATGGGCTCAAGCAATCTATCCGCCTCAGCCTCTCGAAGTGTTGGGATTACAGGTGTGAGTCACTGCACCCAACACAAAACTAAATTTTAATTTAAAAAGGAAAAAGTAAGGCACATTCCCAGGAAATTACTTTGTTAGGTCTGACTCACAAGGCAGTTTCGTGGACTGATAATACCTTTCTCCTCTATCTTGTACCAAACTCTTTTAAAAATTACCTTTGCATGCTTTACAAAAGAACCAAAAGAGACATTGTCAGTTCTCCATGAAATAGACACGAGCCAGACCTCTCAGGCCAACAGCAGGTGCAGCCAGCTACCAGCAACACTGCCTAAAATCCCAGCACTGGCTGTGGCAAGCCCAAACTGTATGGGCACTGTGGTCCCTCTCCACCATGCAAGCCACCTTCCTCCAATATGTGGCTGTGTGGTTTGGAGAACACTGACCCCTCCCTCTCAGTTCCATTCCCATCCCACCTCCCCAAGCCTAAAATAACACCAGTGGTTGAGATGGGGTCTGATCAGTGCAAAGCACAAGAATTTCCCCTCATCTGGTATAACAGGTTTCTCTCCTCCCTTCTAGGGGCTCAAAGGCCACAGGCTAACCTGGTGGCTCCTGGCAGCCATCTTGGGACTGAAAGAAACTCACCCTGATGAAGCTCGCCCATTAGTGACTGCAATATCTGTCTTTAGAGTTTTGGTATTCTGTGATATTCAAATACTGAAATACATAGGTTTTTATTGGTGTAATTCCATCATTATTTCATTATTTCAACATTAAAAAAATTCAAGTCTATGACTCAATGATTCCATGGAAAAGACCAACGGATGGGTTGGCTTCAAGTCTAGACTCGCCTTCAGAGTCCGTCTTTTCCAGGGAATCATCGCGGATCACAACAGGCAGCCTTCTAATTATGCATCACAAAGCTTCAACCCACAGGGTAATTCTCACTCTGGTCCAACTAGTAGAGGACAAACGATAAGAGTGCGAGAGCACCTCGCTGTACAAGCCAATGAGTGCCCGCGTGCTGTCTGAGGCAGGTTTTCTGTCGCCGCTGCAGAGCACACCCCAGCTGATTACATCCTAAGTACCAAGCCCCCTCCACTGCAACCTACCAGGTTTGCAAGGTCGTCACATCCTGGGGAGACACATATTTGGGTCTGCGGCAAACCTTTTTAGTTGTGCCATAGACCAGGTTTTTCTGAATGAATGCTGAAAAAAAACATAACCAGTGAAAAAATATATATATACATATACATACACACAGGATGGCAATGTTTTATAAACACAAATTAGACAGATTTGAAAGCTTACCCAAATGTGTAAAGCCCAGAATCAGTCTGTTAAAAATAAGGCAATTTTACACATTTCAAATATTCATAAAGAAAATAGGTATCCTTAGGAGACTGGGTTTAATGAATAGAGGAATGATTAGTAATTGACATATCAATTATACATGAGTGCTTTTAAATTGTTCCTTCCAATCTTGTTTAAACCATTATTTTGCTTGGCAATTTTTCCCAGCTTGGATATTAAAAAAAGGCCTCAGCCAAGCCTGAGACCAAACTACCACATCTTGAGTTAGTGGGACTGGAGAGTTAACGTAAGTTTTATGACTTTGTTTTAGTTAAACTATGACAGTATTCATCAACCTTTCTAAACCAATAATATCTTTAATAAACACATTTCTTGCTTCCCCACCCTCAAGAATCCCATATTCATCCTGAGGATTTGGGGTTGGGGGAACTGGCCCCTCAAGTGGAAAAATAAATACCTAGAAGGGTTTGTCATGTCTCTGCCTGCCAAGAAAACCCTCTCAAGTCTTACTTCCTTTCTTTTTTATTTATTTATTTTATTTTTTTAAGAGATGGGGTCTTGTGCTTTGTTGCCCAAGTAGACCTTGAACTCACCGGCTCAAGTAATCCTCCCACCTCAGCCTCCCAAGTAGCTGGAACTACAGGTGTGTGACACCATGCCCAGCTAATTTTATTTTCACTTACAAAACATTTTAATATTAAAAATTATAGATGTCCAAAATTAGCCTTACTGCACTTGAGCATAAACTGTATGGTTATCCAAGTGTGTGCCTCTTAGGTTGCAGCCGAGATGGTCACCATTCCTGGAGGGCCACCCACATTCTCATTCAGAGCCCATGATCCAGATGCAGCAACCATGACCCCTTCTGGTACCCACCACTCAGCCGCCCATCAAGACCATTCTCACTGGCATATTTAAATGGGTGTTACTGGCCTACTGGCCCTCTGCGATGAATCTTAAATGGCTTTCACTGGTGAAATTAAAAGTGAGCCAAGATATGTGGACGGGCTAAATGTGTCAGACACATTCCCTACCCTTCTACGGACACAGTAAAGTGAGGCCTTTTCCCTAACTTGCCCTTCCAGAGGATACCCTAGGCTACAGCCTGTCTTTGGGGGATTCTGCCCCGTCTGACACCACCTAACAGGATGCTAGAATTCTGCCTCTGGAATACTGCCATTTGCCTTGAGTGAATCATTTATGACAAGAGTCCCTAAAAGGGCAGAACTGAATCATCCCTAAACCTTCAGAACAACTCACTTGGGCTATTTTGTGTGTGTTTTAAGTGCACTTGCTTCCTAATGTGTGTGGCAGTCTGCTTTGAGACTTGCTTTATACTCAGTAGTGAAGTTGTAGGGGAAGAAGCCAATTCATCTCAAGCTTCTTTTGTGGATACTGTTAGAAGAGCGGGAAGGAGAAGAGGGGAAAGGAGGAGGGGGAGGGGAAGAAGGGAGAGGAGGGGGAGGAGAGGGAGAAGGGGGAGAAGGGGGAGGAGAAAGAAGAGGAGGAAGAAGATGAATTGTCCCCACTCAAAGGGCTTCAGTCAGTCTGCAGGAACTATCAACTGCACGTGTGTGCTCTTTCCCATCCCTATCATGAGGTTCTGTTATGTCCCCAGGGTGTGGCCTAGGTTGGGAATGATAAAGGTGGTATCTGACATTTCTGATATATCTGTTTTGATATTTTCCAGATATTTAAAAGAAATATTCCAGACTGCTGTCAGCAGCAGTTAGATGTGTGCTTTCCACACAGTCCCGACCTCTAGGGCAGTCCTGATTTGATTAACTTCTATGTTCTCACTGTCCCCTTTCATGCACTGGTGTGTGTCAGGCTATGGAAAGCAAACCAGACCACATGTGGCTGGCACTATCCAGCAGAGCAGAGGCAGTTCGCACTCTAGAGGAGAACTTCTCTGTAAGGGCATGTTAAGGGGGCAGTGATTTACCCTAAGCAAAACCACAAGTGCCACAAAAACAGAAGCAAAACCAAGGCCAGAAACAGACAGCCAAAGTGGTTTCAGGATAATTCACCAGACACTCTGCTATACTCCACATAGAATAAAGGTCTACAAAAATAAAGAAAACCATAACCCGTGTTTAAAGGAAGGCCCACTTACTCCCTTATAAAATGCTGAACATTCAGAAGGACTCGGAGTTTAAAATGTGAAATACAGGCAAAACAGAACTGAATAAAGCGGGACCAATACACTCATGTGGAAATGGCTTAAGAGAAACTACAGCAAAATTAAAACTGAAAAAAAATTCTCACAAATCAGCTGCTTGGAGGAACTGGCCAAAGGGTGGCCTATTTCTGTCTGTAAGGCAACCAGGAAGAAACATTTCAGCCCCAGCCTCAGGACACCATGAGTGCATGAAAATCTGCTTCCCAGGGACTTTTAATTACTGTGTGTCCTATCATCCATTAAATCCATCAACTCCAAAGTTGCCTACAGAAAAGATGGCAACAGGCTGGGCGCGGTGGCTCACGCCTGAAATCCCAGCACATTGGGAAGCTGAGGGGTGTAGATCACTTCAGGACAGGAATTCAAGACTAGCCTGGCCAACATGATGAAACCCTGTCTCTACTAAAAATACAAAAAATTAGCCAGGTGTGGTGGCTCATGCCTGTAAGTACTCGGGAGGCTGAAGCACAAGAATCACTTGAACCCAGGAGGCAGAGGTTGCAGTAAGCCGAGATCACGCCATTGCACTCCAGCCTGGGTGACAGAGCGAGACTCTGTCTCAAAAAAAAAAGATGACAGCAGCACTGCTGCAGCAGGGAGTGAAAAGGCAGACACTGCACAACGGAGCTCCTCGGACACCTGTCAGGGACTCAAGCTAGTCCTTGGGCACAGCAGGACAACCACCCTGCATGCATGCTGACCCTGCTTGTCCTCCACACTTGGGGCTCCTGCCCCTCCTGGGGTCCATTCTCCTCACACTCTCGATGCAGCTCTTCCTCCACTGCACAGGGCCAGTGTCATCTGTCTCCAGGTCTGTCTCCCCTTCTACACAGGCATACCTTGCTTTTCTTTCCTGTACCTACCCGGGCCCCCAGTATGTGCACATGGCTTCTCCAGGGTTAAGGTGTAGGGACAGAGCCAACACAGGTAGGCTCTGCTGGGCGAGGGCAGGGGCACAGGATACCTTTGAAATCTAACTCGTAGTTGTGCTTTCCGGCCTGGAACTTCAAGGTGGCTGCCTGGCCGTCAGACCCCGGTGTGCAGTAGGCCAGGTAGGCCTTCTCCACGTCGCTACTGCTGACAGTGGTCACAGGGTGCGCTGTGCCCTGCGATGGAAAGCCAGACACTTTATGAAGGCAAGAAACTGCGTGATGAGGAAAGACGCTGGTGGCACCCAAGCCACATTTCAGAGATGCTCACGGCGGACAGTCCTATGGTGGGGAAGAGGGAGGCCAGGGAGCATGGTATGGCAGGAGAGAGAGGCACAGAACAGAGGCAACATGACTCTCTCCTGAAGCTGCCCTAGCAAAAACAAGGCAGTAAATATGGGTCCTGCTGAGCAGGATGACAGGGATGGGCGCAATGGAGAGGAAGGCACTCAAGTCACCTAGGACAGAGGACGCGACAGCCACTCAAATGCCAGCAGAACAGCAACAGTGACTTCTCAAGTGCTGCTTGACTGGACAGCACAAGCCAAGCTGCTCTTAGCCGTCTATTCATGTTCCAACCATCCTTTAATCAGAGCTCGGTCCTCTTCCTAGAGGTTTTGTTTTTCTGGTCCCTAGGAGCTTTCATCTATTTTTTTAATTATCCATTTCAATCCCTATTCTTCCACAATTACCTACAGGAAATCTCATAGCTTGGGATGGACTGAGTTTGAATTCTGGCTCCCAAACCTGCTGGCTCTGTAACTTTGGCCAGTTATTTTAACCTCCCTGAGCCTCCGTTATCTCAAGCTTATAATATGAATAACAGTACTTAGGCCACATTCATCCCTTTACACAACAGGACCGTATCATCCTCACAGGGCTGGAGAAACCATTTAAATAAGGCATGCAGAGCACTTAGCACAGTGCCCAGAACAAAACATACTCAACAAATGTTACTATTATCCTCACTGTTCTTATTAAATTTGACATTACATTGACAACTAAAATTAAAGTTATTGAACCTATAGCCAACTAACTCCCTCTGTCCCTGTCAATTTTCCTGCTCCCCCTACTGCTACCATCCTAGTCCTCCTAGGTCACAAGCTTCAGGTGTTATTAACAGAATAATGAGGGAGACAAGATTCACCCATGCCTCTGGGCAACTGAGTCCAGCAATGGAGGAGGGGAACAAAGAGTACGCAGATGTTTCAAAGCCTCAAGCACAAGGTCCCACACAGGTCTCACAGGTGCTCTAGATGCTGAGAGGGGTAACTAAGAATGACCAAGGAAGGGTGAGGCCCAGCAAAGGTTTCTTGGAAGAAAAAGACACCTGAGTCAAGGCCCAAGCCCGAGGGATGACAATGAGTTGGCCCACGAGAACCACGAAGGGCGGGTGTTACAAGGTATAATGGTTTGCAAAGCAGCCTCCTAGTTTACAGTCTCATAGTGGTGCCTAAGTTTCTCTGAACTCTGTCCTCCTTCAAAACTAAGCCACTAAACTAGAGTCAGGGAGGAAGAGGACGTGATATAAAAATCCCTTTCGGACAACAAGGGGAAAGGAAAAGAAAACAATCCCTTCCCTTTGGGCCTGAGAAAATGAAGCTCTGAATCAGGGAAACAGAGAGGAGAAGCAGCAGTCAGATGCAGGCGTCCTGCCCCCACCCCAGGCCTCCAGTCAAAATCCCTGCAGATGGGTGGTCACAGCGGGAGGGAAGATGCAGGTGGATGAGCATAAAGCAAAAAGTAAAGTTATTTTGCCCTCAGTGGGAGGTTTGGAAGAAGAATCCAACGATGGCAGCCATATTATGTGTTAAGCTGCGAAAGGTCTGGGTTTAGCACCTGGAGGCACCAGCGAGATGTGGAAGGACTGACAGATTCCCACATGTCCTGTGGCAGGACCAGCAGGTGTCTGATTTTGACATGAAATGTTGGAGTACTTCTTGAGCTCAGACAGAAAAAACTTAGCTTTTCTGGGAATCAAGAGAAAACTGTTTTGAAGTGGTAATTAGCAGAAAACTAAAAAAGAAACCTAAATGTGGGGTTACATCAGAAACGTGTAGGAAAGGGAGGATGAGAAAAACCAGATCATCCTAGGCTGTCCAGCCTGAAGCCACCAAGCCTACACGTGTTTCTACGCCCCCACTAGCACGTGGCATATCAATAACATCCACACGGTTCATCCCCAGAGATTCTCAAACTGCTCGCCATGAGTTTCTGCACTGCCACAAAGGAGGAGGAGCACAGGAGAGAAAGGGGCATGCTCCGTGTTGGCTGACAGGAGGAGAACGGCCCCAACCCCCAAAGCTGTGATGAGACACCACCAGGGAACCCTACTTTTGCATGGGTTGCCCATGTGTCATCTCATTCAGCAACCAGGGGTCTCCCCCAAGAAGCCGGACAGATCGCCAAACAAAATGAAAGTGACGGTCACATCTGCTAAGTGTGTTGCACCTGCCATCTGTCCCTCCATCTCAAGGAGCCGGGATTCCTGGAGCATGACAGGACAGTCATCCTCTCCCCGTCCTCTTCATGCCACCGCCTCTTCCCCTCACACTCCTGACCAAACCCAGATAGCTGATCTGGATGAGGCCCACAGGGCAGGTCAGAGAGAGTCCCAGGCCGCCCGTGATGGGAGGGAGACAGGTGGGAAAGGCAGGCAGGGCAGAGCAGCAAGCAAGGAGAGCCTGGTGCCGGCAAGAGGGGAGGAGGTGAGCAGAGGGGAAGGGAAGGAATGCAAGGCAGCAAGGCCATGGCTGAGAGTGACCATCTCCAGCTGACCAACGAGACACTGTCAGCAACACCCTCCTCCTTCCATCAGCCAATGTCTATTTCCTGAGGACCGGCTATGCATCATTCCACACACAGGATACAATGGGGCAAAAGAAAGACAACAGTCCCTGCCCTCATGGAGCTTACATTAGAGGATGACCAGAGGAAAAGGGCATTCTGAGTGCAGTTAAGAATAAGAAATTAAAGCTTTAATATAGCCTCTTAAAACTCAGAAGAGTGCAAAATACCTATCAATTTTCATTTTGGAGGGGGTGTTCTTTATCAATGGTGCCTTCACTAACCTTGTACTTCTTTTGAGATGGAATCTCGCTTTCGCCCGGGATGGAGTACAGTGGTGCGATCTCTGCTCACTGCAACCTCTGCCTCCCAGGTTCAAGTAATTCTCATTCATATCTCAGTTTCCCAAGTAGCTGGGACCACAGGCGTGTGTCACTACACCTGGCCAATTTTTGTATTTTTAGTAGAGACAGGGTTTTGCCATGTTGGCCAGATCACCACAAGTGATCTGCCCGTCTTGGCCTCCCAAAGTGCTGGGATTATAGGCATGAGCCACCACGCTCGGCCTAAATTTGTACTTCTATAAGTGACCAGGGGACTCCCTTTAATCTGACTCATCTACAGACACCTGCGAATAATTGACAGCAGCTAGTTTTTGTTATTTGGCTTGGATTCCAAATCTACACATGGTGTAAATCAATTGTCTTATATTTGCCTACCTTCTGTAAAGTTGCAGAAATGGCAGACAACCGGTTTGAAAAGCCTTTACTTCTATACCACAGCTACAAAACACACTTGCACACATAGGCACCAGCTCTGGGGTTAAGTTACCTGTTCAACAAGAGAAGCATCTTTCTATCCCATTTAATAAAACCAATGAAGAAACTTGATCTCACTACAAATTTGTCATTCAGTTCTCATGAGCCAACAGATGGAAGCTCTTCAAAGAGGAAAGCTCATACAAATAAATTCCAACTTATCTAGTTTTGCCATAACTCTCCCAAAGCAAGTGAGTCACACTGGGACCTGGGGATCCTCAGCTCTCTTAAGAATGCCCCTGGCAACAATATGGGGGCTTTTACTTGGCTCCTCTCTTATGGATCCTCAGGACAAAACACCCTCTTTCCATCACACTTACCTGTCTTCCATATTCCTGCCAAGAACCAAACTCATCACTCCAGTACCAAATCCAGTCAGTGGTGAGGATGAAGTGTGGAGGTTTGGTGACAGCGGAGGCTGTGGAGAGGCGGCGAGCCTGGGTAGCACCATAAGTCATGGCGTTAAAGTTCAGACAATCAGAGTGAAAGGTATTGGCTGACTCAGAGCACAGGATCCTACAAAAGAAAACAGCAGCACACTGAAAATCCCACCAGCCAAGCAGACACAGGTCCCTCAGCTTGAGAACATACAGCTGGGAGATGCGAATAGTAAATGTGACATGCGTATTTTTAAAAAAGTTTCCAGAGGTAGGGGAAACTGCTTTTTCAGATCAGTTTTGAGGTATAAAAATATCAAAATCAAGATAATGTGGGAGACTAGTTACAATGAAAATTCCTCTCAGTACAAAATGCAGAAGACGTTGGTGAAAACATTATTTTTTAAAATGCACTGCTGAGCTGGCAAGAAAGGGAAGTGCTTAGAAGCCAAAATTAACAATAGCTAACACATACTGTTTACTGTGTGAGCCAGACCCTGCATTAAGCACTTTACATGTATTAGGCGATGACATTTTCACAACCCTATGAGGTTGAGTGAGACTATTATCTCCACTTCACAGATGGGAAAACAGAAGCTCAGGAAGGTGAAGAAACCCATTCAAGGACAAATAGCTAGTCAGCGGGTGAGCTGGGCTTTCACGTGGGCTGCACAGCCTGCACCTGAGCCACCAAGATGCGCTCCCTTTCTAAACGTAGTACTGCCTAAAGACCAAAGGAAGGTACGAAACTGGAGAGCGGAGGGGAGGGCAAGAGCCAGCAGCTATCCCAGGGCAGTGTCGATGAGTAATGACAGAGAGCCTGGGCTTTGGCCGCAAAGGGGAAACAGGAAAAAAATGTAGGATCTGAGTAAGGCAGAAGGCTGAATCTCAAAAGAGATACTTCTGCATTAAAACCAGGAACCTAAAAGATGACCCACCTTAGTAAAGGGGGACTGGAGAGGGGACTTGCCTTGCAAAGACATCTGGCAAGGAAACCTGCCTGTATTAATGTTGGTTATAGATAAAGGAGGAAAAAACTCCTCTGAGAACTCATAAACCACTCAAGCCTCACAGAAGTTTTAGGATGATTCACATTTTGTGAGAATTAGCTGCAAAGAAGATCCAGAGTAGCAGTTCTCAGAGAAGCAAACGCAAATCCCCTGTGGAGGAATTCACCTTCAACTCAGGCCTCAAAAGAATTTCCAGGCTGGGCACGGTGGCTCATGCCTGTAATCCCAGCACTTTGGGAGGCCGAGGTGGGTGGATCACGAGGTCAGGAGATCGAGATCATCCTGGCTAACACGATGAAACTCTGTCTCTACTAAAAATATAAAAAATTAGCCGGAAGTGGTGGCACGTGCCTCTAGTCCCAGCTACTCAGGAGGCTGAGGCAGGAAAATGGCATGAACCCAGGAGGCGGAGCCTGCAGTGAGCCAAGACCACACCACTGCGCTCCAGCGTGGGCAACAGAGCGAGACTCCATCTCAAAAAAAAAAAAGAATTTCCAAATAAATTTCCATCAAACATGAGCTCAAAATCAATCACAAAACATGGAAACAAAGACACTATGAGCAAAAGTTAGCAAAAACAAAATCAGACCACCTTGAACTAAAAACATTAGTATTCTCAGATGCAGATATACATGATGTGTTTTTTAAAAAGGAATTGAGCATCAAAAGTATGAGTTAAGAATCAAGAGACTATAAAAATTGACTGGGTAAATTTAAGGGAAAAAACCAGAACTTTTACTATTCATTATTTTTTTCTTTCTCCTCCACTCCCTCCAAAACGTTTTTCTTTTCCTTTTTTATTATTATTTTTTATTTATTTATTTTTGAGACAGAGTCTCACCCTGTCACCCAGGCTGGAGTGCAGTGGCATGATCTCAGCTCACCATGATCTCCACCTCCCAGATTCAAGCGATTCTCCTGCCTCACCTTCCCAAGGAGTAGCTGGGATTACAGGCATGCACCACCACACTCAGCTAATTTTTGTATTTTTTTAATGCAGACAGAGTTTCACCATGTTGGCCAGGCTGGTCTCAAACTCCTGGCCTCAAGCCATCCACCCTCCTCAGCCTCCCAAAGTGTTGGGATTACAGGCGTTAGCCACTGCTCCCAGGCTTAGAAATTTTAATTGAAATTTTAAAATCATACTTTGATGGGACACACTGCATCTCAGAAGAGGCTGAACTAATGAACTGACAGCCTGAGGGGAAGAAATGTGGCAGAATTTAGAAAGAGAATAAAAGAGAAGTTAGAAGACATAAAAGATGAAGTGAGAAGACCTCACCATATATCTAATGAGAATTCCAGAGAAGGAATACTTAAGGAGATCATGGCTGAAGAAATCAGAAAGCACAGCAAAATATGAGTAGCATAAATTTTTTTAAATCCACATACAGATCTTAGTGAAACTGCACAGCAACAAAGAATGACAAGATATTAAAAGCAGCCAGAAAGAAAAAATAGACTACCTACTATACTGGATTGAATTGTGTCCCCAAGAAGGTATGGTGAAGGTCTAACCCCTGGTATCTGTGAATGTGATCTTATTTGGAAATAGGGTCTTGGTAGACATAATCAAGTTAAGATGAGGTCATATTGGATTCGGGTGGGCCTTAATCCAAAACTGATGTCCTTTTAAGACGAGGGAAATTTGAACACAGACACGTGGGAAAAATGCCTGTGACAATGGAGGCCAAGATTGGAGTGATGCGTCTACAAGCCAAGGCATGCCAAGGATTTCGAAGCATCAGAATCCTGGAGGAGGCAAGAAAGGATCCTCCCGTAAAGCCTTCAGACAGAGCAAGGCCCTGCTAACACCTTCAGTTTGGACTTCCAGCCTCCAGTACTGTGAGAAAATAAATTTCTGTTGTTTGAAGCCATCAAGTTCATGATAATTTGTTACAGCAGCCCTAAGAAGTGAACTAATACCACCGCAATTTAGGCTGATAGCTAACTTCTAAGTAGAAGAAATGGAATCCAGACAACAATGAAATTGTCTTTGAAGAGTTGAGGGAAAATACCCAGTAAAACTATCTTTCAAGAACGAGAAGGGAATAAAAACTCTTTCAGACTAACAAAATACACAATTACCTCCAGACTCTCACTAAAGCAACCTCCAACAGAAAAACTTAAAGAAGGAAAATGATAAACAAGGAAAAGTGTGAGCAAAGGAATAGTGAGTAAGAAACAAAATGATAATTGTGTAAACTTAAACAAATACTGACTGCCTAAAACAATACGAATTTCTAACCTCTGGGATTAAAAATATTACAGCAGCAACACATACAGTGCATTTTTTTTTTTTAAATAGAGACAAGATCTAGCTCTGTCACCCAGACTGGAGTGTCATGACACAATCATAGCTCACTGCAGCCTCAAACTCCTGGGCTCAAATGGTGCTCCCTCTGCAGCTTCCTGAGTAGCTGGGACTACAGGCATGCGCCACCAGGCTCAGTCAATTTTTTAAAAAAAATTTTGTAGAGACAGGGTCTCTTTATGTTGCCCAAGCTAGTCGTATATTCCTAGCCTCTAGCAATCCTCCCACTTCAGCCTCCCAAAGCACTGGGATAACAGGTGTGAGCTGCTGTGCTCGACCCACAACTTATGTGCCTGACACTGTTCTGAGTGTTTTATGTATATTAACTCATTTAATTCTCAAAATAACCTTATGATGTAGAAACTATTATTTTGTCTACTTAACATGTAGTAAAACTGAGGTAAAATGAGATTAAGTAATCTGGCCAAATTTACATAATTAGTAAATAAGTTTGAATGAAACTAGTCAGAATTTCATTCCAAAGTTCTTTCATTGTTTGACAGAATGAGAAAAGGCACTGCTTGGCTTAAGCTCAGCTAAAAGTCTGTTAAGATAAAGAGTCTGTTTAGATTTCCAGGGCAGCCACTGAAAAAATAAAAATTCAGTCTATAACGTCCAAACTAGTAAAGGTAGAAAACCAAATGAGGAAAACAAATCTAAGAGAAGATCAGAAAGAGAAAAGAAATATACAAAAAGCAGGTCACAGTGACAATTATAATGAGTGGCAGAAATAAATCCAGATCCACATGTAATTGGCCATTTGTGCTTCCTCTGCCAGGAAGTGTCTGACCTTGCAGTCTGCTCATTTGGAGGGTAGAGAATTTGAGTGAAAGAGGCCAGACACAACAGTACATACCGTGCGGTTCTATTTATATGAGGTTCAAGAACAGGCAAGACAGAGATCTATGGTGACAGAGGTCAGAACAGTGGTGAATGATGGGAGTGGGCACTGACTAGAAGGAGATGGGGTGAGGAAAACGATCCGTATCTCAATCAGAATGCTGGCTACACAAGCGTATGCATTTGTCAAAACTCAATGAACTGTATGCTTAAAATCTGGGCTCTTCGCTGTGTGTAAGTTTTGCCTCACAAAGAAAGACTGCGGTGGTATGTGAGCCGTTTAATCCTCCTAACAGGAGTAATTGGTTTCACATACTTTACCAATAGCAATTTGCACATAATTGCACTCTAAGTGGAAATTTATTTTATACACTCAAAAAGTAGGCTCAAATTCTCTTCTTGGCAACATATTTCAGCAAGTTCAATGCAAAATATGTTAAGTATTTGCAAAGAAGCCTATCCAGGAATTCCCTGTTTACTTTGAATTGACTGAGGGAAAATACTAGGACATGCTTGGGAAAAAAAAAGTTAAAGATTAAACCATAAACAGCAGTTCAGCGGTATGGCTGTATAGGCCAAAGGCTAAAATTTCACAAACAGAAATAATCACCTCTCGCTTTTCTGTAATAATGAGTATAGATGTACACGATCAATCCCAGCACCAAATAATTGAGAACTTAATACTTGGTCTTGGTAGCATCTTCTCCTTTCCCCATTGCTCCTGTCTGAAAGGAGAGGGAGGTGGGAGAACAAAGCCACTAAACTGCCAGTACGAACGCTGACGTCCAATTCCAGCCCAGCTTCTACCTCCAGACTAGGCTGCTCAGAGAGAGGGAGAGAGTGTGTTTGACAGCCACACATGCGCGCAAGGGTTATCAAAACTAAACACTGCTGTTTAAGCTAAACTTCCTTCACCGCACACAGAAGCCCAGGCACAAAACAGAGATAAGAGACATATTTCCTACCTTTCTATTTTGGGATTGCAATATGCCTCTTCGATAAGTTCCATTTTGTCCAAATCCTTCCATTTGCCTCTATCCAAGAATTGCCATCGATACGGCAAATGGAAATGAACTCTATGGCACTTATCTGAAATAAAAACATAAAGGAGTAAGATAGCTTGGCGATACGCAGCATGCCCTAGCCTTGTGGTTGTCAACAGGTGTGGTGCTGCCCGCTGACCTGGGAACATTCTGAAAATGTGTGGTGGAGTCTGTTTTTTCAGTGCAGGCGTGCCTGAGCATTTAGATATGGAAACACTTTTTGTATTTTATTATATACATTACTATGATTTAAATGTCCCTTCTAAAACTCACGTTACAACTTAATCGCCAATGTGATAGTATTGAGCAGTAAGGCCTTTAAGAGGTGACTGGGTCATAGATGAATGGATTAATGGGTGTATGGGTTATCATGAGAGTAGAACTGCTGGCTTTATAAGAGGAAGCGAGACCTGAGCTAGCATGGTCAGCCCCCTTGCCATGTGATGCCCTGCAGCACCTCAGGACTCTGCAGTCCCCACCAGCAAGAAGGCACTCCTCAGATACAGGCCCTTGACCCTGGATTTCTCAGCCTCCATAAAGGTAAGACATAAATTCCTTTTCTTTATAAATTATCCAGTTTCAGGTATTCTGTTATAAGCAACAGAAAATGAACTAAGACATACATCTTCCTTCTTTATGTCTCACTTTTTAACAGGACCTTACTATATTTTTATTCTTTTTTTGGAGACAGGGTCTCACTCTGTCACCCAGGCTCAGGTGCAGTAGCACAATCACGGCTCACTGCAGCCTCAACCTCCCAGGCTCAGGTGATCCTCCCATCTCAGCCTCCTGAGTAACTGGGATTACAGGTATGCACCACCACACAGCTAATTTTTGTATTTTTTGTAGAGACAAGGTTTCACCATGTTGGCCAGGCTAGTCTCGAACTTCTGGCCTCAAGTGATCCACCCATTTTGGCCTCCCTAAGTGTTGGGATTACAAGCGTGAGCCACCACACCTAGCAATTTTTTAGAAATATGTATGTTGATGGTTTATATCATCTATGAATTTTATTTTTATTTATTTATTTTTTTGAGATGGAGTCCCGCTCTGTTGCCCGGGCTGGAGTGCAGTGGCCAGATCTCAGCTCACTGCAAGCTCCGCCTCCCGGGTTTATGCCATTCTCCTGCCTCAGCCTCCCGAGTAGCTGGGACTACAGGCACCTGTCACCTCGCCCGGCTAGTTTTTTTGTATTTTTTAGTAGATACGGGGTTTCACCATGTTAGCCAGGATGGTCTCGATCTCCTGACCTCGTGATCCGCCCGTCTCAGGCTCCCAAAGTGCTGGGATTACAGGCTTGAGCCACCGCGCCCAGCCTATGAATTTTATTTAATGAGAGTAAGAAGCTGATCATGAGAAGGTCAAAGGTTTCATCACTGCAGGGGGCAGTCTGACTCCTCAATATCACTCTCCACGTGGCAGGTGGATGGGCAGATTTCACAGCAAAGATGGAGCCAGATTCATCTCTACCAGAAATCCAACCCAACCCAATACGTGCAACTGAAGGGAGGTCAGCGGCATGGCTACAGGCTCCTTGCTTCTTCTGGCTAACAACATGCTTACTCCTTCCTTGACACACTCCCACCAACATCCACACAATGGCCCAGACCTATGGGTTCCAGTGAGCTACTCCCCTCACCAACCCCATGTTCCTCTTGGGCAGCCAGATACTCACTTCTCTCATCACTCCAAGCACACGCTGCCTGCCCTGCCTTTGCTGGTGCCTGCCACCACCTGGAATGCCACCCACACCCTCTCCCTACCTGTCAACACCCTATGTGAGGTTCGGCTACATCCACACAGAGGAGTGTCAGGAGAGGACAGGGAGAAAGGAGAGAAAAAGAATGAGATGCTCTTTGCACTGTGACATGCAGCTGGCTACCTCCAAGATATCTGCTCTAAGGCAGAAAGAGAACAAGGTACAGAATGCCTCTATTTGGGTGAAAAATAGAAAAAAAATAAGATTAGGGATATTCTGACTAAACACACACATATGCACAAATTATTTCTTGCAGAGGGAACTTGGTAGCTGGAGACAAAGTTATGAGCAAAGACTTCTGTCATTTTGGCATGTTTTGAACTTTGAACCACAAGAAGATATAATACATTCCAAAAATTACACATCTAATTAAGTGAAAAAGGTAGAAAGCCATGATAGTGTGCATGTGTAAGAAGGAAACTGAACAGACACATACCCTTGTACATGTATAAAGTCTCGATGGGAGGATATTCAAGGAATGGATAATTACAGCTGTTTCTTGGAGGGAACTTGAGTTCTGGAGAAAACTGGTGTGAGGGGGACTTATTTCTTACTGAGTGTCCTTTGTACATTTTTAATTCGTATTTCAAAATAATAATGAAACTAGCTAATTTGATACTTGAAAAAAATTAAAATTTTCTAAAATCATGTGCATTCTTTCAGGCACATCTCAATGCCACTTCTTTCCCAGGCTCTGCAAAAGCACCACAGTGGGGGAAGTACCACGGAGGAGGGTGGGAGGGTGCCTGGGCTTGTCACAGACCAGGTACTGGGCCGAGCAGACAGGGCAGAAGAGAGTGCCAGGCTGAGAGGACTGAGGGAACAGGGTGGGGACACCCAAGCAAGGAAACTCCTCTGAGTTCAACAAGGCTGGACACAGCCATACCAGGGACTAACTTGTCCAGTTTGAACATGGACATCTCACTAGGTCAGAGAACCTCTTGGACTCTCTCAACCAGGTGTGTATACAACAGATAATTAAGGGGCTGGGCCACGGAAGATAAAAATAGATATGGTCCAAGGTCATGACCAACAAGTTCCTGTTCCCTCCCTGAAAGGCACTAGAGGAAATGATCAGCAATGAGAGCAGAAGGTCTCCCCAGGGCATCCCAGTATTCAAATGCTTTAACTACCCACACACAAGTGTACTATGGACAGCCTGAGACAGGCTCTCCCTGCAAGCAGGCACATCCTGGGGAAGGTGCGCTCCATAGGGCCCTCCAGGCTGATGCTTCCTCAGGAAGGACATGGGGGCCAGGGGAAGGCACTACAGTCAAAGAGCAGGCCTGAGGCTTCCGTTCTGAATCAAAGTTGAGCTACAGACCACACTGTTCACAGCTGGAAGGTGCCCAGGACAGGAGGCACCACGTAAGGCACTGCAGCCACAGCAGCTGGTGAGAGCCTAGTCCCAGCACAGCGGTAGAGACATAAGGTCCCTTCCCTTGTCCTGGTCTTCCTGTACCCTTTCTCAACTTCTTTTCCCTACTTCTAAAGTTCCCTACCTCACTTTGGCATTCTAGGGGCTTTCTAGGAGGTGAGTCATAGAAATCAAATCAATTTGGCAGACAAAATACCATATCCACCCCAGCAATTCCTCCCTATAGTCCTTGAAATAACAGGCCAGAGAGAAGAATAAATCCAAAAGCACTGGAAAACAATAAAAAATACCATCAAAAGACCAGAATTATTCAAGAATTGCTAAAACTATGGAGCAATGAGAATCAAATAGATATAAAAAGGAGAGAGAAAAATGCAGACAAAATATGCAGGCCACACCACAGAAGCAGAAAATATCTGGGGTCATCACAGATTCAGAGTCTGATGAAGCCAGGAGCAAGAAAGATACCCAGGCCAATCCCAATGAGAACAATGGGAGCCCCGGCACAGGCACTCCCTTGCCCTAACTTGCTTGCATGAAGGAAGCTTGCTGTGCGCTTCCTAGTTAAACTAAGTGTGAACATAAGGGTTACAGCGAGAGAAAAGCAAATGAGATGGCCACCAAAGCCCCCATCCCAGTCCTAGGCTGCATGCCAGCTTCCCATTTCACCAAGCAGAGCCTTCTGCCTCTTCCCCACCATCACTAGAATGAGGGCCTGGAATGCAAATCAGCCCCATGGAAATCAACCAACAGGCATATGGGATTCTCAAGCACCAACGCGACAGACAACCAAGAATCACTCCACACATGAAGGAAAATAATTCGAAGAGAGGCAGCAACTCACACAGAAGCAGCGATACCTAAGGAGAGAATGATCAGAGTTAAAAGAACAAGCATTCACAGCTAGACTTCAACCTAAAAGCCTAGCCTCTGAAACTTCTAGGAAAAAACCGTAAGAAAAACATTTTGTAGGCTTAGAATAGGCAAATATTTTTAGGACACAAAAAACACAAACCATAAAAGAAAAAAATATATTATCTGGACATCACTATTAAAATACCTGTTCTTCAAAATATACTATAAAGGAAATAAACATGAAAGACTGGGAGGATATATCTTCAGTATAAATCACATACAAAACACAACTCAATAATAAGAGATCAAACAACCCAATAAAAATGGGTATAAGAGTCACAAAAGACCAATACTGTATGATTCCATTTATATGAAATACTCAAGCAAATCTATAGAGATGGAACCTTCATCTGTAGTCATCAGGAGCTGGGGGGAGGGAAGAATGGTGGCTGACTGCTAATGAAAACGGGGTTACTCTGGGGGTGTTGAAAACGTTTTCATATTGCCTATGATGATGGCTGCCCAATTCTGTGTTAATATTACATATATAAGTGGACTTCAAAAAGTTCATGGAAACTGGAATTAAAAGATAAAAAATATAAACTTTATTTCTCAAGATAAGTTCCAGCAAGTTCAGGACACTTTTGTAAAAGATGATACCAGCCATTTCGTCCACCCATAAAGAACTGAGGGTCCCAGGAATTTAACCATGTCAATCCAGTCTTTTTTTTACATTATTAACTGAAGACAAAAATGGGTGCCCTTTAAAGATTTTTTTTTTTTTTTTTTTAGACAGAGTTTCGCTCTTGTTGCCCAGGCTAGAGTGCAGTGGCATGGTCTCGGCTCACCACAACCTCCACCTCCCAGGTTCAAGTGACTCTCCTGCCTCATCCTCCCAAGTAGCTGGGATCACAGGTATGTGCCACCACGCCCGGCTAATTTTTGTATTTTTAGTAGAGATGGGGTTTCACCATGTTCGCCAGGCTGGTCTCGAACTCCTGACCTCAAGTGATCCACCTGCCTCGGCCTCTTGAAGTGCTGAGATTACAAGCATGAGCCACCATGTCCGGCCTAAAGATTTTTTAAGATTAGAAAACAAAAAGAAGTCCGAAAGAGCCAAATCAGGACTATAAGGTGGATGCCTACAGATTTCCCATTGAAACTCTTGCAAAATTGCCCTTGACTGATGAGGAATGAGCAGGAGCTTTGTGGTGGTGGAGAAGGACCCTCTGGTGAAGCTTTCCGGGCATTTTTCTGCTAAAGCTTTGGCTTTCTCAAAACACTCTCATAATAAGCAGATGGTATTGCTCTCTGGCCCTCTAGAAAGCCAACAAGCAAAATGTCTTGAGCCACCCAGAAAACTGTTGCTGTGACTTCTGCTCCTGACCACTTCTGCTGTGACTGGGCCACTTTCCCCTTTTAGGAGCCATTGCTTTGTCTTCAGGATCCTACTGGTAAAGCCATGTTCCAATCTCCTGTTACAACTCTTCAAAGAAATGCTTCAGGATCTTGATCCCACTTGTTTAAAATTTCTATTCAAAAAAGTTCTGCTCTTGTCTGTAGCTGACCCAGGCAGAATGGTTTTCGCACCCATAGAGTGGAAAGTTTGCTCAAATTTAATTTTTAATTTTTCTGGCATATTGTATAAACTGAACTAATCAAGATGTCTGGTGTCAGCTACTATTTGTGCTGTTAATCACTGGTCTTCAATTAAGGAACAAACAACATTAATTTTTCCCTCACAAATTGATGGGGATAGCTCCATCTTTAACATTCTCTCATCCCTTCTTAAACTGACTTACTCATTTATAAACTGATTTCTTTGGGACATTGTCTTCATAAACTTTTTTGCAAAGCATCAATGATTTTGTCATTCTGCCACCCAAGAGTCACCATAAATTTGATATTTGTTCTTACTTCAACTGCAGCAAAATTGATGTTGCTTTGATAGGGGCTCTTTCCAAACTGATGTCTTATCCTTCTTAGTGCCTCAAACTAGATCCTGTTCAGATATGTTATTACAAGTTAGTATGAATTTATTTTGGTGCAAAAGTTTTGAACTCCATCCTTAATTTTTTCATAATATGCATTTTCCATGAACTTTCTGAAGACCCCGTGTGTGTGTGTGTGTGTGTGTGTGTGTGTGTGTGCGTGTAAAGCTGTTATATAAAAAATAGGCAAAAGATTTGAGTAGATACTTCACAGAAAATGTACAAATGCCCCAAAAGTACATGTAAATAAAAGTTAAACATCATTAATCATCAGGGAAATGCAAATTAAAACCATGAAACATCATCACTCACTGATTAGAATGGCTAAAATTTAGAAGACAATGCCAAGTGTTAGCAAGAATATACAGTAACTGAAACTCTCATACGTTGCTGGTGGGAACATAAAATATCATTATCTATTTTGGAAGACAGTTTGGCAGTTTCTCACAAAGTCAATCACATGACATAACCCAGTAACTATGTCTAGGTCTTTACCCAAGAGAAATGGAAACATATATCCACATGAAAACTTACACGTAAATATTTATAGAAGTTGTATTTGTAGGCTGGGCGCGGTGGCTCAAGCCTGTAATCCCAGCACTTTGGGAGGCCGAGACGGGCGGATCACGAGGTCAGGAGATCGAGACCATCCTGGCTAACACGGTGAAACCCCGTCTCTTCTAAAAATTACAAAAAACTAGCCGGGCGAGGTGGCGGGTGCCTGTAGTCCCAGCTACTCGGGAGGCTGAGGCAGGAGAATGGCGTGAACCCGGGAGGCGGAGCTTGCAGTGAGCCGAGATCTGGCCACTGCACTCCAGCCTGGGTGACAGAGCAAGACTCCGTCTCAAAAAAAAAAAAAAAAAAAAAAAAAGAAGTTGTATTTGTAAAAGCCAAAAACTGGCAACAACCCAAATGTTCATCAACATATGAACGGATAAACAAATTGCATTCAATCATGCAATGGAATACTACTGCGCAACAAAAAGAAACAAATGATCGATATGCCAGCATGACTCTCAAAAACATACTAATGAGAGAAGCGAGGCACAAGATAATACACTGTATGATTCCATTTATGTGAAATTCTAGAAAAGGCAAATCTAATCTATAGCGACAAAAAGTTGATCAGGGATTTCCTGGGGGTGACAAACTAGGGGGTGAGGATTAATTATAAAGGGGCACAAAACAATGTTTTTGGAGGGGGTTCTAGAACTTGATGGTAGACATGGTTACGTGAGCATATATACTTACCAAAACTCAGAACTATACATTTAAAATGGGTACACTTTATCTTGTGTAAACTATAGCTCAATAATATTGCTTTCAGAATACACATATATATGTATATATATAGCTCATATTCTTTGACCTATCATTCCATTCCCCAGAATCTATCTATGGAAATACTCACATATATGTACTTGAATGCACAATGGCACATCATTATAATCAAATACTACACACTTGTTTTTAAAATGAGGTGGACTTTCACATACTGGCATGGAAAAAAATCTCCAAGATACAATGTTAAGATGCAGGTTGAATAACAACATTATCACATGCTCCTATCTGCTTAAAAATAGGTAAAACAAATATCACAACCACACAGGAAGTGTTTACCTTTGGGCAAAGATGATGGAGAACTTCATGCTTCACTCTGTATTACTGAACTGTTTTACAGAGTGAAACTATTCATGAATTGCTTGGGTAGTTTTTAAAAACTGAAAATGAACCAAGAAGTTTTGGTGGTTGTCAAGGGGAGTCACCAAATTTGAGAACAAACCTTTCTTCAGTCAAAGCCCAGGACAGCATTTAAGAAGAAAACAAAGGTTTAGTGAAAATACAGACACACACATGCACACCAGAATTGCTGCTTCTGATAAAAGAGGGATCACTGGATTGCTCACTGGATCAATACAGAAGAAACCCCCAATTTAAACAACTACTCATCCTCCAAGAGCTAACACAAGTGTTCCTTCGCAGTGAAGTCCTTTCCAGTTTCGAAGGGAGCTCTCAGCCTGTCATTACCCTTATCTTTGTTCCCACCAGGCTGAGCAGTTCCCTGTCCTGTGCAGGTCTGTGACTTCATGTTAAGCTGACCAAGTCTCAATACTTGACACTCATTTGGTGCATGAACCAGTTATGTTCCCAAAAATGATCCACATTTAATTTCTAAAAGCTCAAAGAATTGCTACCATCTTCAACTCCCCAACAAAATACCTTCAGAATTGGTTTGGCCAAAGTGCCAAGCCCTGATCCTCTCTGGATGGGGTAGAGGTTTGGTAGGGGGTATCTTCAGAGCACAGCTCTGGGAATAACAAGCAGTTACCCCTCCCACAAGGGGGATGAAGGAGCCTCCTCCAACTTACCTTGAAAGCTACAACTTTTCCGGATATGGTACAGACAGATCTGATCACCCTCCTCCTGGCTAAGAGTGTTTGGGGACACAGAACCTGAACTGTCTTTTCTTTCTGCAAAGAAACACCACAAAGATATGTCAGCTTCTGACAAGGGGTACAAAGGAGAGTTAAAGAGGATTCATTCAGCTCTCTGCACAAAAGTGGGCAAGGCAAGCTCACAGAGCCCTATCATGTTTGGGGTGAAAGTGCTCCTACACATGTGGGTCCTCTACTTTTTAGTGACAGGCTGGCAGCCTGAGGCCACACAGCTGCTTGCCAGATCCAGGACTCCATGAAGGGACTCCTTTCTCAACTCTCGCTGTCCACCCAATTCACTACAAGACCCATTTAAAAACACAAGTGCCTGACTCTGCCCTAGACTGACTTCGCCCCAGACTCAATCAGAACCTCCAGGGGTGGGACTTGGGACACTTTTGTAATAAGGGGAGAACCACCGTCTTACATGTTGAGGCATCTTACAATTCCTTCTATGCCTAAGGTTGATGACCCCTGAGGGCAAACAGGGCTACTTTTTATAAACTAGATTTGAGGCTATATAGCAAATATTCATTAATGAACTATCAGAACTGGGTACTAATAAAAAAAAAAGAGTAATAAAAACAAAGTCCACATTTCAAAAAGAAGCCCCTTTAATAAATTTTAGGTTAATTATCAGGATCTTAATATAAAAAGGGCACATAAATCCTTTCTAGTTTATCTTTACTAGCATCATGCCAATGAGTCTTTACCTGTGACATTTACTCTCACCCAGCTACCCCCAAATGAACACATAAAATTAATTTGCAATCCCTATTTAGTGTCACCTGTCATTTTGTTATTCATCTTCCCTTTTCTTTTTATAAGCCCCTGAGATACTTCACTCGAAATCCAGGTCTATGGGACCCCGGAGGTCATCTCCCTCTCTCCCCATGATGGTGACTGCCCTTGAAGCTGGTATCACTGGGCAGTGGATCCCTCCTCCCTTTCTGACAAGGCTGTAATCCAACTGTATTCAAGGCTTTAAGATACTCTTAAAGATCTATTTAATACAAAACCTGTCTACTTCTAGGCTTCCTACAACTGAAAGAAATTAAGAAAACATAACTGACGACAATGTAAAGAAAAAACAAATACAATGGATAACTTTTAAATATAAAAGTCAAGTACAATTAGAGTGGTGCATTTGTTTGCAGGTAGTCCTGGCATGCAACTGACATTCTAGGAAGCGTTCTGTTAAAACTGTAGCCACCACTACAGCTAACTGAGCGGGTTGGATTCTGCTCTGAGGGGAGGCATGTCTCAGCTTCGCCAAGGAATAACCATCGCCCAAGACAGTGCCCAGCATGTGGCAAGCACACAAAGGTGCTGAATCAAAGAGTGGATAACAGAACGGCCAGCCAACAGCTGATACTGTGAAATCCACCGGATGCCAGTGTATCATAATCTCCCTGACAGATCACATTATTCATCTGCCCAACAACAGGTACTCAAGAAATGCTTATTAAATAAAAATTTCTGCTCGAAATTTGCCTGTCACTAAACCTGACAGTGTTTTTTAAAAAATAAGCATCCTAGCACACTCATTCATTCAACAAACATCAGAGTACCTACTGTGGGCCAGGCACTGTCTAGGTGCTGGAGATGAGCAGAGAACAAAGCAGACAAATTTACAATGACTCAAAAACGCTACTTATTCATGGCAGGAATACAGCCAATGCCGTAATTAAGGTATGCTTCTTTCACTCATTTTGTAAAATCAGAATACAACACAAGGCATGCTCCCCAGAGCTGTCAGCACAGCATTCCTAACTTTGGGTTCCTTCCTGAAGGACATGCTCTCGTGGGCGTGAAGAGAGGGGTGACTGCACAGGGGGAGGAGCCAAGTCTCCCATTTCAGTGCAGACTAGGCCCATTCAGAATTCACTAGCCATCAATACCAATTCACATTTGTCTAGGATGGCTTGCTTGATCATGTCTATGATTTCACCCCTGCACCCCCGGCCTTGTTAGGAAAGCATCATCAACTCCGTTTTACTAAAAGCAGCACCAGACTTGCCCAAAGTCACACGCTCCATGTAATGGCTAGCTGGAATCCGGGAGCCCCCAGTCCAGGACCTCCCATGCTCCCCACCAGCCTTACCACTCCCCACCAGCCTTACCTTCCCACCAGCCTTACCAGAAGTCCCCTGTGGGACAAAAGGAGGAGGCACTCTGCTGGGGGCAGAGCTCTTATTCTTGATATCATGTGCATTTCTATAAATGGAAGGCAGCCTGCTCACCAGGTCTGAGCTCATACCCAACTTCTCCAATTTTTCCAGATTCTCAGAATTAGAGAAATCATGGGATCTCTTACAGCTCTTGCCAAACTTGCATTCCCCCTGTAAAAAATACTGGCAGATATGGAGCTTGATGCACTGTTTTTGAAAGGCACAAGAGCCATGGGGTCCATCTCCTTTGTTGTAATGTTGGCAAATCTGTTGACAGACAGGGAAAAAACCACCAGTTCAGGAAGGTCTCACACAACACCATCTTCCCAGTGGCCAGTCCACTGGTGAGACAGGGGCTTCCCAAGCTGTGATTCCATCCTCCACACAGAACACAGCTACAACATCCCTCACTCTAGATGATGGCTGCTAACAAATGCCCTTGGCTAAAATGGGAACCAAGTGGAAAGGAGACTGCACAGAAGCAGCCCCTCCACTGGGAAAATCCAAGAACTTCAAAGTGACTATAGCTGCTCCTTTCACATGAGACGATGCAAATCAAATGGCTACATCCTAAGGACTGCTACAATCTACCTATACTCTTCCCCCACTGACTCATCAATTCTCCCTTCCCCAGGCCCCAGTTTTCTCTGAGTTCTCTATTCTACAATTCAAAGTCAAAGAGGCTCTGAGGGCTTAAAGCATCTTAGAGAAGGCCAAATACCACCCTTTCATTTCTCAATGGAGCACACTGAGAGGCTCAGAGAAGTTAAAGAATCAGCCCTAGTCACACAGCTATCCATGGCATCTGGCACATATGTTTGTGGAACTGGGTTGTTGGCAAAGCTGACCCTTGAACTTCAATCAACTGCTCCTTCTGCTTCACATCCCAAATTTCTGCATGTGAGAACCAGACTAGAGACCCCCAAGGGCCCACCCATTCCACTCACAATCATTACATTTCCCAAGATACAGGAACATCCCCAGGGAGCTGTGAAACCCAGACTTCCCCTGGCACTCACTTCTGGCAAAAGCCAGGGGTCGTTCTGAAACAATAGTTGGCATAGCTCGTTATAGCTCAGGTGGTCAACGCCATGAGTTCTCAGCACACTCAGGTTATGTTCGGTTGTCAAGCTGTGACTATTCCTACAGTTCTTCCTGCAAAGAAGGAGAGCTGGTGTTATATGTTGAATTGAGTCTCCTCAAAATTCCTATGTTGGCGTCCTAACTCCCAGGACCTCAGGATATGGCTCTATTTGGAAAGCAGGTCTTTAAAGAGGTAATTAAGTTAAAAAGAGGTCAATAGGGTGAGCCCCAATCCCACATAACTACTGTCCTTATAAGAAGAGACTGGGGCACAGACACACACAGAGGGAAGACCATGTGAGGACATGGTGAGAAGGTGGCCATCTACAAGCCAAGGAGAGGGGCCTCAGAAGAAATCAACCCTGCCACCTTATCTCAGACTTCTAGCCTCAAGAACTGTGAGAAAATCGATTTCTGTTGTTTAAGCCTCCTAGGACTTTGTTATGGCAGTGCTGGCAAACTGAAAGCTGCTAAAATCAGTCTTCATGACAATTTTTCAGAAACACTTCCTGATAGTGTTTACAAGCACCAGACCAGCATGTAGGCTGGACGCAATGGCTCACGCCTGTAATCCCAGTGCTCTGGGAGGCTGAGGTGGGTGGATCACTTAAGGTCGGGAGTTCAAGACGACCAGCCTAACCAATATGGAGAAATCCTGTCTCTACTAAAAATACAAAATTAGCTGGGCGAGGTGGTGCATGCCTGTAATCCCAGCTACTCAGGAGGCTAAGGCAGGAGAATCGCTTGAACCCAGGAGGTGGAGGCTGTGGTGAGCCAAGATCACAGCATTGCACTCCAGCCTGGGCAACAAGAGCAAGACTCTGTCTCAAAAAAAAAAAAAAAAGAAAAAGAAAGAAAAGAAAAAAGAGAAAAGAAAAACCAGCATGTCTATACGACAACAACAATTTACCAAAGAGGAGATGGGGCCTTGTAAGGTCTGAGGCCCAGGACAGCACCTCTGAGCAAGCATTTGATGAGAATGACAAAGAGGAGTTGCTGCACAGCAGTCAGTCAGTAAGCAGTTAACCACAGGCTGACTCAACAAGCACGGCATCTTATCATTACAGGTTACATACGTGCATGCATGCAGGCATATAAACACACACACAGCCCTGAACCCAGTTCTTTTTTTTTGCTCTCTTCCTCCATTCTTTCCATCCACAAGCATCTGATAAGCACCAGGGTGAGCCAGACACTGGCACCATGCCCTGAGAACCCAAAGATAAACCTTTAAATGACTGTCTGAGTCACCAGGACCCAGAAGAGTCAGGCCAAAAGCATTTGTTTGACTCTGGCACTGCCATGCCTCCTATGTCACATCTCAGGAGAATGCCAAACCCCGATCCACCCCAAACCTGCACCTTTTACGGAATCCCCCAGCTCAGTAAAGGGCAACTTTCCTCTCCCACTGCACAGACCAAAAACCCAGAAGTCATCCTTGCCTGCTCTCTTTCCCTCATCTAGTGGAGGTGACAGACATAGAGGGGACTCTGATATGGAGTGGCAAGTGCAATGTCAGCTGTGGTCAGGATCCGTCAGCGCAGAGCGGAAGGGCACCTGAGCCAGTCTGGGCTGGGAGAGAACTGGGGAAGAAATCAGGGGAGCACGCTGGATGGCATAAAGTCTGAGTGGAATACTTAAAGGCTGGGGAGGAGACAGCAAGAGGAGAAAGGAAGAACATTCCAGAAAAGAGGCAAACAATTTGGTGCTGCCAGAGCCAAATATATCTAATAAGTGTAATGATGACTGATGATGACAATGACAACGACTACTAAAATTTATTGAGCAACTGCCAAGTATCGGGGATTGCCAAAATGTTTTATGAGTTAACTCATTCAGTCCTCAACCAGCCTGTGAGGGGAGTAATATCATTAACTCCACTTTGCAGATGAGGGAACTGAGACCTGGAGGTAAAGTCACTTGCCCAAAGCCACCAGCTAGCAAGGAGCAGTGCCCAGACTGAAACAAGATGGGCTGGATCTTGGGACTGTGCCCTAGATCACCAGGCTCACTGCCCCCTGAGCAGAGGACCAAGAGCCAGGGACCCAGGACTCCGTACCAGCTCTGCAGCAGGACTGATGACCTATTTCTAAAAGAACTGACCCTGCGGTTCAGGAAGACAAGCAGAGTCACAGGGGAAGCAGAGAAGTGCAGCCAACCACACCTACTCTCCCTAAAGTGAGTCAGAAATGGAAGGTTCAAGAAACTCACCTGTGTAAACCACAAGGAAAAGAAAAAACTGAAGAAAGAAGAAAACTCAAGGTCATCTGAGCCAATAAATATCACACTCCAGATTTCTAAGACAAGTCAGACCTGAAGCCACATTTTGGTAACTAGCTTAAGAACAGGGCTGCCATCTTTATTTTACCAAATATGAACATTAAACAGATCCAGCAGTTACCCCCAAGAGTGGCTCCATCCAGCCACTATTTGCTGTGTGCCTTCTTCCTAGTGGGCTGTTCCCTGCCCTCCCCTGGACTGCCTCATCCCTGAAGGCTGATTTCCCCAGAGTTCCACCCTCAGCCTCTTTTCGGGCTTCAGACTCTACCTCAGATCTAATCCACTCCTGGGGCTGCAGCCACAACATACACCACCCAGTATCTCCCAAACCAGCCCAGCACACTGGGGCCCTGACCTTCCTACGAAGCTTCTGACCTGAATAGCTGCCTCCTGGGCATGTTTCCAAACTAAAACCCTCTCTTGCTCTCAGTGAACAACACCCATGCCACAGTAGGAACAGAGACTGAAGAGTTGTCACCTGATATCCTCTCACCACACCATCACCAACTCACCTCTCCCAAATTTCTCACACATAGCCCTTGGAAAGTTCTAATCTGGATACTTCCAGACAGCTGCTTCCTAGAGACTACCTTTCCCAGCCACCCTGCATCTAGACAGGGTCACCAGACAGCTTCCAGTCAATGGGATGTGGGTGAAAGGAAATCCACCACTTCTAGACCTGGCCCACAAAAACCTCCCATGCAACCCCCTTTCCATCAGCCCCCTGGAACTGGATACCTAGGCTGGCCTCAAGAGCCATGTGCTGAGGGGCACAGAGCAGAGGTCAGTCAGCCTGGATCCCTGAATGACTGTATGGATTAAGGCCCCCCACCCCATGCTCACTGCTGGGCCTGACATGAGCAAGAAATATCTACTCTATTAAGACAGACACACACACACACACCAGGGAGCAAGCAAGAAAGGAGGGAGCAGGGGAGGAAGGAATTATCCTACATGACTAGCTTCCCAGTGGTTCCCCACAACATCCTCCCTTAAACTGGCACCCACACCACTACCTAAGACTTCCTAAAATGCAAACCTGATGGTTGCTCTCTCCTGCCATTTTACCCGCCCCATCACCTTCAGGGTGAGGCCCAAATTCTTAGACATAAACCTCAGCAATCCCTTCCACACATCCCACTGACCACGTGCTATGCACAGAACATGGACGCTAAGTGCTGGGGAGACAGCTAAGGCCTCTGCCCTCAGGGAGTTTCCATTCTATTGGCAAGTGGGTGCCATGAGGAAAATAAACAGTTCCCTGTGACCAAGAGTAAGGGGAGGAAAAGCCCTCAAATGGGATGTGATCTTTAGATTCAGGCCTGAAGGATTAACAAACAGGGCCAACCAAGAGCAGGAAGGGCACTCCAGGCAGAGCAAAGGCTCCCAGAAATGCTCAGGCTCCCAGAAATACCCAGGCTGGGTGGCGGGGGGGGTGTTCCAGGCACAGAAGGGTACCGAGTGGGCAGGGACCAGTGCCCCAGGACCTGTGGGCGATGGCAGGGAGCTTGCATTTTCCAGTTTGTAAACAGATAAATAGGGTTGAACGGGGTTTAAAGATCTCTTCCAGCTGCTGGGCAGAGAAAACCTTCACTGTCTGCTCTCAAAGCTGGCAAGGGGGGACCCGCGGCGTCGTGGAGCTCCCCTAGGCCACCGCCTCCCTACCTCCCTACCCCACACGGCCACACCCGGGTGTTCCCACCCAGCACTACCGCGCTCTATGTAAATCAATCTCTCTCCCCAGGCGTCTAGAGGACCCCACTCGACCCCGAGTCCCTCGCACTGTGCCAGATACTCAGCAGGTGCTCAATAAACGCTCCCTTTAGTGTATGACGGGGCGAGGCCAGGGCAGAGCCACCGAATTGTATGCTCAAACTTCAAGTAGGACTCCCAAGCGGGCTGGAAGTGCTTGTGGGTGCGCGGGGCCTCCGCCCGCCGTCGCTCCCGGTGCGGCGCCTTACCCGGCTCTCAGAAACTTGCAGGCGCCATAGACCATGAACTTGCAGAGGTGCAGCTGCGCGCAGAGCCCCACGCAGCCCGGCTTCGAGCCCTGGTGCGCGCGGCACAGGCGCAGCGGCGACGCGGCCAGCACCACGCGCTCCTGGGCCGCGGCGGCGCCGCCCGCCCGCACCGCCACCACGAAGCGGCCACGCTGCCGCAGCAGCCGCTCCAGCGCGTCGGCACTCAAGCCCATCCGCAAGCGGCGCCGCAGCTCGGGCAGCTCCAGGGCGCCCCCGGCCGCGCACAGCACCTGGGTCACCTCACCGACGACGCCGGCCTGGGCCATGGCCGCTGTGCCTGCGCCCGTCGGACCGCGTATGGCTCGACGCGGACGGCGGCGGACGCTGGCTGGCGGGCGGCTCTCGCAGAGTGGAGGCGCCGGCGGGAAACGAAACCGAAAGCGGCCCCGGGCCGGCGAAAAACAGAACCTGTGCGCCCTCGCCACGCCCCCGGCCCGCAGCTGAGCGGCTGCGCCTTCCGCCTCAGGGCCCCCAGCTGTGAGGCCGCCGCCCGACGGGAGCTCGGGAGCTCGTGAGTTCGGGCGTTCGGCCCGGCTCGCGGGCGGGGGCTGTGGCGGCTCGCGGGGGGCCAGTCCCTAGGCCCTGAAAATGGCTTCTTTGGATGTTTGAGGGACCAGGAGCCCCTAATTTCGCGATGCTCCGAGCGCCTTCAGTCAGAGAGCCTCGAGGGCGGCGGCAGCGCTGGCGGAGCCAGCTGGACGCCGCCGGTTGAAGCCGCTCAGCGGTTAAAGCCAAGCCAGGTTAAAGCCAAGCCAGGGCTTCGGTAGACGTCTCACAGAAACAGGGACAACTGACGGGAGCCCCCACCCCTCGAACAAGTGACAAAAGCGATCACTCCGCAGAGGAAGACAGGCTTAATTAAATGTTCCTTTCGCCTCGGTGCATCAATGAGTTCCTTCATTTAAATATAAAAGGGTATGTTCTTTAAAAAAACAAATCCGTGAGCCGAGATCGCGCCACTGCACTCCAGCCTGGGCGACAGAGCTAGACTCCGTCTCAAAAGAGAAAAAGAAAAAAATCCGTTACAATCCCCTGCTAAGTAACGATTGAGCAAGTATTTCAGAAGACCTGTCAGAGCAAAGGACCCTCTCACACGTGTTGAGAGCAATGCGAGTTGTTAGAACCCTTTGGGAAAGTAATCCAGGAATAGCTATTAAAATTGAAAACGCACGTGACCTTTGACCCAGCGATCTTTCCTCTCGGAATCTTCCAGAAGTAAAAGGAACAGTAAATAAGTTATGTGTGAAAGTGTTACTGGGGGAACCCTACCTGGGAGGTAGGGTTAAGTGGGAACAGTGTGGCTAATCTTTAAAGACTATTATGAAGACTTTAAGCATGTGTTAAATCTCCCTGTGTGGATCTAGAGGGACAGACAGCCATGATGTGGTGTTAAACGAGAAAAGATGTCTGTACAGTAATGTCTAAATAATCAAGTTGAATGATCAAGAATTAATTTTTTAAATGTCTAATAACAAAGAGAAGCCTGTGTGTGTGTGTGACAGGACATTTTTTAATAAGCACGGGGAAAGATGAAGAAACACGCAAGGGTGGTTGAGAGGAGGCAGTAGGAGGTACTAGGAAAATGGAAAAGGGAAGATGAGAGGCAGAAGGATTATGGGGGAAGAGTACTTATGGTATAACATTCACTAAAAATGAATATAAAAACCTTAACTATAGGACAGGCGCAGTGGCTCACGCCTGTAATCCCAGCACTTTGGGAGGTCAAGGCGGGCGGATCACTTGAGGTCAGTAGTTTGAGACCAGCCTGGCCAACGTGGTGAAACCCTGTCTCTACTAAAAATGTAAAAATTAGCCAGGTGTGGTGGCGGGCGCCTGTAATCCCAGCTATTCGGGAGGCTGAGGCAGAAGAATCGCTTGAGTCCGGGAGGTGGAGGTTGTAGTGAGCCGAGATCATGCCACTGCACTCCAGCCTGGGCAACAGAGCGAGACTCCATCTTTAAAAAAAAAAAAAGAAAGAAAATCTTACCTGTAGTATTACTACAAAAATGTAAATTAAAAAAAGTGTATGGATAAAGACTAGATAGTAACATGGACGAATGAAAATGAATTTAATTAGAAATGGAATGAGGGGTTTTCTCTTTGATTTTAATTGTGATTTTAATGTTTTCATTGTATAAAATGTTAATTTTGTTTTTGTTGTTATTGTTTTAGAGACAGGGTCTTGGTCTGTCACCCAGGCTGTAGTATAACGATATAATCATAGCTCACTACAACCTGGAACTTCTGGGCTCAAGCGAACCTCCCACCTTAGCCTCCCAAGTAGCTGGGCCTAGAGGCACGTGCCACCATGCCCAGATAATTTTTACATTTGTTTAGAGACACTGTCTCATATGTTGCCCAGGCTGGTCTTGAACTCCTGGCCCCAAGCAGTCCTCCCACCTCAGATTCCTAAAGCACTGGGATTACAGTAAGCCACCACACCCAGCCTAAAATGTTAATTTTTAATTTAAAATGTTAGGCCGAGTGCGGTGGCTCACACCTGTAATACCAGCACTTTGGGAGGCCGAGGTGGGTGGATCACTTGAGGTCAGAAGTTCAAGACCAGCCTGGCCAACATGGTGAACCCCATCTCTACTAAAAATATAAAAATTAGCCAGGTGTGATGGCATGTGCCTGTAATCCCAGCTACCCGGGAGGCTGAGGCAGGAGAGTTGTTTGAACCAGGGAGGTGGAGGTCGCAGTGAGCCAAGAGTGCACCATTGCACTCCAGCCTGGGCAACACAGCAAGACTCCATCTCAAAAAAAAGTTAATTTAGTTGTAGTTTCCATATTGTTTTGCAATAAAATAACATTTTTTAAAAAGGAAGGGTGATGTCAGTGAAAATGGTGGATTAAGGACCCCAGAAAGTTTGCCTTTCCATAAAGGAAGCAATGAAAGAACTGATAAAAATTGTCAGAATCAACTTTCTTAGAGCCCTGGATATTAGTCAAAGGCTTGTAGCAACCCATCTAGCATTTAGTCAAGAAAAACAGCAAACTCTCAGTAAGAACAGCAATCTTTATAGTATTTTAATTTACCCTAGTCCTATCGCCCACCCCCGCCACCGCTCCACCATCTCTAGTTCCATGGCAGCCTTGAAAACTTACAGCCCACATTCCTAGTACCTGTACCAGAGGGAGGAGACAGGGATGGAGCTACTTCAAAGTCTCATTCCCAAAGAAGAGTCATTATTTGACCTATCTAGTGGGTCCCTGGAAAAAAACCCAGAAAGGCTTGTCTTTATTCAACCTCATTGGAACTAGCTCAGTCCTAAAGGTTTTTCCACCTGAAGAGGGAGTTATTTGTCAAATATTTTAACATCGTGACTGGCTGAGGCAATAGGCAACAGTAGAGGCAAACAATAGACTAACCAAGAAATGTAAAAGGAAACGTTGAAGGATGAGATGTCCATAAGGGCTTTGAAAAGCTCCAGTATATTTTTAGGAATTTAGAAGGCCATGTGCGTGCGTAGGTCTGTGCACATGCTCTGTTAACACCTGGGAAGATCCTTACCTCTCACTACTAGCTGACACTGAGGCTCTGTGCTAGCAGGAAATAAAAGCTATGCAGAGTTGAAAACTGCCTAATGAAAATTGGAGACATGCCCCAAAGTGCATACAGAGCCCCTTGGCAAAGACTAGGAGACATACTGGTTCCAGGTGTTTAAGGAAATCTCCATCTAATCATTAGTTGACCAAGTAGAGACTTCAATAGTCACAAACAATGAAGATACACACTTTACAAAATTAGTTCAAAAAAGTTACTAAACAGCAACTATTAGGTTGGTGCAAACCGCAATTACTTTTGCACCAACCTAATACTAAAATAAGCACAATCAAACCCTGAGGAAAGAGGAGTATCTGACTAGAGAGTTGGCACATTGTTTGAAATGTCCAATTTTCAACTAAAAATTACATAACTTGCAAAGAAACTAGAAAGTAAGACCCATGCAAAGGAAATAAGAGCAATCAATAAAAACTGTTCCTAAGAAAAAGTTGAACTTTGTAGACAAAGAGTGTAAATCAGCTATTTTTGATATGTTCAAAGAGCTAAAGGAAACCATCTCTAAAAACGTAAAAGAAAGGGTGAGAATGATGCCTCGCCAAACAGAATATTAATAAAGACAGAGAAATTATAATAAGGAACCAATAAATGTTCTGGAGCCAAAAAGTACAATAACTGAAATGAAAAATTCACTAGAAGGGTTCAGCAGCAGATTTGAGCATGCAAAACAAAAAAAATCAGCAAACTTGAAGATAGATCAATTGAGATTATCTGGTCTGTGGAACAGAAAGGAAAAAGAAGAATGAAAAGAGCCTCAGAGAACTGTGGGACACCATCAGATATACCAACAACACATAATGGAAGTTTTAGAAGGAGAAGACAGAGAAAGGAAAGAAAGAATATTTGAAAAATTTTTGGCTAAAATTTCTCAAATTTGATGAAAAACATTAATCTACACATCCAAGAAGCTTACTTAATGAATTCCAAGTAGGAAAAACTGAAATAGATCTACACCTAGATACATCATAATCAAACTTTTGAAAGACAAAGAGAATCTTGAAAGCAGCAAGAAAGTAGCAACTCATCATGTGCAAGGAATCATCAGTAAAATTAACAGTTAACTTCTCATCAAAAACCATACATGCATGTGGAAGGTAGTGTGATGATGTATTCAAAATGTGAAAAGAATCAACCAAGAATTTTATATCCAGCAAAACTGTCTTTCAGAAATGAAGGAGAAGGCCAGGCGTGGTGGCTCACACCTGTAGTCCCAGCACTTTGGGAGGCTGAGGTGGGTGGATCACGAGGTCAGGAGTTTGAGATCAGCCTGGCCAACATGGTGAAACCCGTGTCTACCAAAAATACAAAAATTAGCTGGGCCTGGTGGCAGGCGCCTGTAATCCCAGCTACTCAGGAGGACAAGAGTGAGACTTCATCTCAAAAAAAAAAAGAAAGAAAAGAAAAGAAATGAAGGAGAAATTAGTTCAACATCTGGGTTTTCTTAGGAACAGTTTTTATTGATTGCTCTTATTTCCTTTGTATGGGTCTTACTCTCTAGTTTCTTTGCAAGTTACATAATTTTTAGTTGAAAATTGGACATTTCAAATAATGTGCCAGACAAACAAAAGCTGAGGCTGTTAGTTGCTAGCAAGGAGAAACACTAAAGAGAGTCTTTGGGGCTGAAAGTAAAAGACACTAAACAGTAACTGGAATTCTCATGAAGAAAGAAAAGCACCAGTAAAGGTAACTACATAGGTAAATGAAAAAGACAGTATAAATGTATTTTTTGTTTGTAACCGCCCTCATCTGATTTAAGACAAATACATAATGCAGTAATTACAAATATAAGTTGATGGACAATGTTTTGAAGATGTAATTTGTGACAATAATGGCAGAAGGAAATGGGGAAGGAAAGTGAAGCCACAGAGAAGCAGTTTTTATATACTGTGGAAATTGGTATTAATCAAAACTGGATTTTTATAAATTAAGATGTTGTTGGTAATTCCTAGTGCAACCAATAACCAATAAAATAAATGAGGCCAGGCACGGTGGCTCACGCCTGTAATCCCTGCATTTTGGGAGGCCGAGGCAGATGGATCACCTGAGGTCAGGAGTTCGAGAACAGCCTGGCCAACATGGTGAAACCCCATCTCTACTAAAAATACAAAACAATTAGCCAGGTGTGGTGGCAGGCACCTGTAATCCCAACTACTCAGGAGGCTGAGGCAGGAGAATTGCTTGAACCCAGGAGGTGGAGGTTACAGTGAGCCAAGATCGTGTCACTGCACTCCTGCCTGGGCAACAGAGTTAGACTCCATCTCAATAAAAAAGAAAAGAAAAAAAGAAATGATAAGATAATTTAAATGGCACACTGGCAAATATCTATATAATACAAAAGAAGGCAGTACTAGAGGAGTTGAAAAACAAAAAAAGACAAAAGACATAGAAAAAATAGAAAAATGGCAGACAAATCCTACCTTATTAGTAATTACATTAAATGTAAATGGATTAAGCCTTCCAATTAAAAAATAGAGATGGGCATAATGGACCAAAACAAACAACAAAAATAGAAAACATGATCTAACTATATGCTGCATTCAAAAGATACATTTTGGATTCAAAGACAAATAGATTGAAAGTAAGAGCTAGTGTGAGGCAGTTCCAAGATGGCCAAATAGGAACAGCTCCAGGCTACAGCTCCCAGTGTGAGCGACACAGAAGACAGGTGATTTCTGCATTTCCAACTAAGGTACCGGGTTCATCTCACTGGGGCATGTCGGACAGTGGGTGCAGCCCACCGAGCAAGAGCTGAAGCAGGGCGAGGCATCGCCTCACCTGGGAAGCACAAGAGGTAAGGGAATTCCTTTTCCTAGCCAAGGGAAACCATGACACACAGCACCTGAAAAATCGGGTCACTCTCACCCTAATACTGCACTTTTCCAAGGGTCTTAGCAAACAGCACACCAGGAGATTATATCCTGTGCCTGGCTCAGAGGGTCCTGTGCCCACGGGGCCTCCCTCATTGCTAGCACAGCAGCCTGAGATCTAACTGCAAGGTGGAAGCAAGGCTGGGGGAGGGACGCCCACCATTGCTGAGGCTTGAGAAG